GTAGAACGGAAGAGAAGAACTGGCAATAAACTCCCCGCCACTCTTTTTAATCGCCAAGTTTTTTGTTTTACACAAAGTTTGTAAGGAGCTGCAACCATTACACCATGTTCCACATGACATCTTAAGTAATAAATAATAATAAAATAAATAAAAACAAAGATTTGTCCTCTATCAGCAGGAGGCATTGTGAAATATGAGCACGCACTTACATTCGCGCTCCTATATTCATAAAAGGATTTAAGTTGTATAAATAATAAAGAAAATTAATTAAATATCCCATGTTTTTAAAACAGGTAATGACTGCTATACGGTCTCATATAATTTTAGAGTATTGAAGTTCCCAGTTTTGTGATCACAAATACATAGTTATTTAAATATGAATCTTAACAATATAATCATTATCATCATTATATATTATTAATTTGCGCCCATATAACGCGGAGATTTATCATGTTATATTTCTATAGTGTGAAATTTATAATGATTTCTCAAATCCATAATTATTAGTTTTGCGTACCTTTGCATCTGCTACAATTGTGTTATGAAGTAAAACTAACTTTATTCAATTCGTGTTCCTAGTTTGTTAATTTTACAATACAACGGTTGTACGAGAATACTCCTGCAACGCGATTTCCTATAACGCGGTAGACCCGGACCTAGGAGGGTTTTTACACATTTTGATAGAAAATAAATTTATTACGGCCCCTCTCATTTTATAAGAGCTCTCATCATATCAAGCACCTCTTATTTATATTCCCTTTCTGGGTATATTTATCATATAAGTCGCGTTGAGCGCCGTTCATATGTTAAAAACGATTGGATTTGACATACAGAAGTTATTGTTCCACTAAGTCTTGACCCGGAATCTTAACCAGCTTCCAATCTTTCGATCTTTATCATTGAATGAGGTATGGTACTGAATGGATAGATAAAACAAAGACAATCGTTAATATACCATTTATTATCACTGCATAACAAATGGTGAAAATCAACATCCATAACACTAATCAACAACATGGATATTTTCACTTAAAAATATACATTTAATTCCTTAAAGTACATTAATAAAAATATCTACGAATAAAAAACAATAACGAAACAATAATGAACATGTCATGATTTTAAATTATTTACATAATCCGCAGCGCGTTTACACTCACAATAAGAATAGAGAATATAAAACGGGCGATACACTACTTGATTGTGATTGGTCGGGGCCGTTCAAGTATTACGTAACCGTATTTACTGCAATTTATCCCCCCCTCTTGTAAGCAACAGCAGTACATAAACATATTAAATTTTTGTAGGAAGCCTCGAAAATGCATTTCGTTTCCAAGCATGGACAATGGACAAATAAATAATTACTGTTGACGTAATCACCAAATAGGAAAATCAAAGAAATCCCCCCACCGCCCTATAGTGCTTACGTAATACTTGAACGTCCCCTCGACTGCCTAGACCAATCACAGACGTCGTAACGTTAACCAATCACAATCAAACGAGCCATCGGTTTCGTTTATACCTAACGTTGAATTTTATAAAGTGTTCTCCTGAAAAACCCAAATTAAAGACCGAATATAAAGTTAAAGTCGCTTTACAAATGTCCGCCTTAGACGCTTAGATGAGGGTATGAACGCGCTGTATTGACAAATTTTATAACCGACACGACATAATTTGAATAAAATCATTTACTATCCAAATTATACAAACAAAATCGATTCAGTGGCCGGGTGAACTTTTGCGTCTACCCGTAATTAAAAGGGGTACCCAACTTTCTGCGTAAAGTACTTTATTCATCATTTTTGGTGCTTTAAATAAGCCGGAGCTGCGAGCGTAATCGTGACTTTATTCATTTAATATAGCATTTCTTATTATTTATTTTTGCCACTTCATAATTGGTCAATTATTTGAAATATTCAAATACGTTACGCGCGAAATAACACTGTTTTCAACAGTATGGGAACCCCATTCAATTGAAAAGGCATTCAATGCCATAGGAATCAGAAAACATACAATTTCATTGTTCATTCGAAAGTTTTAAAAACTTTGTACTTCACATAAATATTTGCAAATGAAACATAGACTAAAATCTTAGAGACATACACACATAAATGGAATCAAGTTACAATGTCAACGATATAATCTGTAATTTTATTATCTGTACATAAAAACATCTCAATTATTATTAATTGGATTAGTGCCAATAATGGGTGCTAATTTTTATGTACTTCAAAACCCCAACACGAGAAATAACCAAGGAAATCGAAAATAGGAGGGTAGCTACCATTCATATTTCTCAAAAAACTGTACATTGACATCTTCATGCTGTCATGCATTTAATCAAATAGATCTCGAGAAGGTGTACTTAGAGTCGTACATTAAGCGTTAACGGTTACTTAAGCTATTTTGTAATTCACTAGATGCAATTGGAAACTATAATTTTTTTTAGCTATGCTTCCTTAAATCAGTTGTTAACTTCATCTTGTAACAGAACTATACTACGACATTTAGCATACGACTCTGAGTGTACATTAAAATTAGCACCAGTGTGTGCAGCAGTCTAGTATATGAAATGGGCGATCCTATAAAAATAATGTTATACTTATAATAAAGTATTTACAAAACACCTATAAACTGTATTTTATACTGAATATTAATCAAAAGAAATTATCTACAATGTTCGTACATTTTTAATTATAATTTAATGTATGACAAAAATCCTGGAACATATTTTTAAAATTTTTGAGGGTAGTTTATTTTTGTGTTCCAGTTATCTTTGAAGTACATTTAAATGTACCTATAATTATTTTATAACACATAGGTAATAAACGTCTTATTCATTCATAATATGTCAGTATCTACCCGCATTTTAACAAAAGTTCTCAACAGTGGTTAAACTTCGATAACGAGAATAGTGGGTGAATTGCAAAGTTCATATTGACTTCCTATTGTATAATCCTAGTCACAAGAATACACTAAGACCTAGTGTATAATTTATGTTACAGGTTTTGTGTCATACATGTCTATATCAAGAATTATAAAAACAAATCATAATTAAAATGTTGCAATTTTAATCTCATTTAAAATAATCTAGATACAAATACAGTCTTCCGATTCTCTAACAGTTGTATATTTAAATTCCTGTGTAGCTGTCATTTGTACTAGAAATGTACATTGTTTAAATCCCAAATAAAATTAAGGATTTTTAGGCACAATTGCACTACGTAACAATCGCAAGAGATTAATATCGCGTTTACGCAAAGTTAAACCTTGTCCCATTGACTTAGTCAAATATTAAATGGCAACGCCATGAACTGACTTAGAGTTATCGTACGCAATAGTTTTCGTGTATTCGATAAAACTGTTTCGCTTGTCATTTTTGTGGTTAGTGGCGTCGAATTTCGCGTCTGCGTGCGTTTCAATTTTTTTTATTAATAACTAAAACGCCAACTTATCCCTAATTTTAAATTGATTTGATTGGACCCGAAATTCCACCTCACCTCAGTGGTTTAGACCAAAAATTAAAAAAGAAATATATAATAAAACAAAGGCGGTTTTTAAATTCACCGGTGGTTGATTTCGCGTATAACAGTACTGCCCCATGAAAAGAGATAGCTCCGATTTTGAAGAATGTACTGTCACACCGTGAGACTGGCTTCATAACATTATCGTTGCCATGGTTACCCTTTTTAAGGAACATCGCGAACATATACATTCCCCCGCCCATGGGCACTCACAGATTGAAATACGGTAGTAACGAACTCTTTAATCTACATTTCATATCACGCTTTAGATAAAAATTGTTAATATGATTTCTTTCGTGTGACAGAACGAATCCCAAACTATCTCTTTCCAAGTAACTGATTGTATTTTAATTTTGGATTCCCTAAAAAGGAGAAATTAGCTTCAAAAAAAACGATATCAATATAAGCTCAGGCCACATCACATGCGACCAATATCAAAAACTCCTATCCATAATAAAATATATTAAATCTTTGTGCTAACTTACGATAAATTCATTTCAATAAACTATCTACAAAGAAACCAAATTCACCGTGCTTGGCACGATTCGCCAATAATTCATTATATTTACAAAATATTCATATAAAATTTTCGATGATCTGAGATATTGTAGGCACGTTGTTCGGATTTCACTATTCACTCCATTGGACCCTACGACGAGTTTACTTCGCGATTTATGGAATATATTCACTTAAAAACTAGCTTCATTGACTTGTCGGGAGTGTACCTTCACTGAAGGCAATGCGTCGTGGCGCCGACGGAGAATTTATCGTTATATGAAATGGTTGATCTTTCAGAGTCTATTAGTGTTCCGGTTGAGATTATATTTCTTACCATCTATATCTCTTGTTATCTGTATCAGGCTCATGCCAGAATAGTGACAGGCATTTTTGAAGTGAAACTTCTTTAGGCGCATGAGGGTAAAATTTTTACGGAACGTCACGAAAATGTGCAGCGTTTTTGTCGAAGAAAAGGGAGAAAGTGATTGAGACCGATTGAGAGAGAGTGAGAAGGGTGAATTACCTTATAGAAATTCTATTTTTAAAATTAAAATTTCGTACAGAGAATTTGTGAAATAGAAGTATTTTATATTTTATGCAAAATAATTTATTGAAATATTAAATGACGAATTGTAAATAAAAATGCCACGTGTTTTTATAATAGAAGAAATAAATTTAAAAAATTATATTTATTATTTGTATTAATTTTCGACACTTTTAATATTTTAATGACAATTAAATTCATGAAATTCCTAACATACCTTGCTTTTTCCCGCTCTCTCTAAGTATCGGTAATCTAAAGTTTTAGATTTGTATAAATATGAACAAGAGTTAAACATTAGTTTGCCAAAGAAGTTTCACTTCTGACATGTGTACTTTGTACGCACGCACTTATTTTTTTTATATTTACGACAAATAACATCGATCACCAATTCATGAAACGATCAATTCTACGATCGAACCACGACATGTGTACAGTTACAGGTCAACATATGGTGCTCCGTCTATCTTATCTAAGTCTGCCAACAGATCGGCGGCGGGCGTCAACGGATCAAGAATATCCTCCCGCAACACGTCCAAGGGAGAAGTGAGACCTTGGTCGCTGTCAACCAGCGTCCTAACCTGGCTAGTTCCGCACAACTCAACGGAATTTCCATTTATAAGAAAATCTCTATTGCTATAACTGAAGATGCTCCTATCTTCGACCATCTGCGGCGTCGACGGCACCGACTTGGACGATAAACCGTTCGTCATAGAGAACGTATCAGCCGCGAACAACTCCCTCGAACGCCGTGAATCTATCTGCAACTCCGGCACACGTTTATACGGAAGCGGAGTACTGGGAACCGAGCGAGAAGTATAATACTTATTTTTATCAGTTTCCAGTTCAGATATTTGAAACTCTATACTGCTCGTTCGTTTCAAATATTCCTCGACGTTCTCGCTGGATGAATCGTTCGTGAAGCTATCTGTGAACTGACCGGTTCTATCCAACAACTCCCCGCTGGGTATGAAAGAGTTCAAATGCTGATCCGTCAGTATCTGTTGCTCTGGTAATGGGTCACAACCGTTGGTCAGATTGTTGGAGTTCAGTAAAGTTGTCGATCCAGCGTTAAGTACCTCGTTACTACTATCTATTGCGTCGTAAATTTTGTCCAAAGTCTCCGGGTTTAGACCGGCTCTCGATATGTCACAGTCGGCTAGGGATCCGAAATCGCAAAATTCATTCGGAACCGGAGTGGGTGGAACGGATCCCACTGGAGTGTTATTGTAGCTGAGAAGTGTCATATTGTTTATCGCCTGTTTCAGAGGCACCGATTGTGACCTGAACGTCGGATCGTGGTTCGAACGATAGTTAGCCATTGGTTCTTGAAAAAACTGGCTCACTTCACTCGATAACGGATCGGCGGATAGAGGATGGCCACTATCCCCGTTGGCGTTATCTCGAAAGGAATTCGCGAACAGACACACGTTATTGACACCATTCGGAACTGAGTTCTGGAGCACTTGGTATTTGTAGTGGGACAGAATGTTCGGTGAGGGAGGGGCGGACATCGGCGAATACTTCACGTTCGTGTTACACGCTGTTTTGGTCACGAATTTTTGGTCATTCGGAACTGCGAACGGTCTATTGTTGTTTGTACAGGGATCGGTCATTCCCAATGTAAGGGGATTCCGACGTTTTCGGCCGTTCAGTTTCGGGATGGGTCTGGAACATAAGCGGGATCTGGGAACTGGCGTGTTCCTGGGACTGACGAAAGGACTGGCCGCGGTGCTATGGGATACCGGAGACGTCTGGAGTGAGCCGCTCAAAATAACGGGCTTGGAAACTTTTGTCGGACTATTGACTCTCTGACTGAACCCCAAAGGTGATTTGGAGTTAAAATTTCTCGGTGAATGGCATCCATCAGATATGGGAACGAAGTCGTACTGCTGAGTTCTGGTCGTGGGACTTTGCGGTTCGTTGTTACAATTACCATTGTACAGATGAGGTCCCATATTCATCAGCTGAGGAGTATTCTCCGAATTGTATGGAGTCGAATTTCCATTTCCATTTGGTATCGAGTTGCACTGCTTGCTTAAATTCTCATTATGAGTGGGGAAATTTGCTTCTCTCACCGTATTGTCTAAGCTGACGGGTTTGAAACCGTCTGCATCGGTGGTTTTGTTCACTGGAAAGGTTTCCGCCGGGGCTTGGGGTTCCGAATTTCCCGGGTTAGTCCCGCTTGGATTCTTCAAATTCTTCGCGAGCAATTCGCGGAGCTGGGAAATCTTCTCGTTCTTGCCTTGACTGTGCTCATCCGGGACGTCTTGACTAGTTTCTAAAAAAGCGGACGGGTTCGCGTTCTCCCTGTCCGCGTCTTTCGGGTGAAAGTACTTGAGGAGCTCCTCCTCGTGCTCCTGGCTGTTGTTCTCGTTGAGGTAGTCGTCGAGATCGTGTTTGTCTATGTTGCAGATGCTTATGACGCGTTCTCGGTTAAGGATCTCGGAGTGCTTCTCGCCGCAGATGACGCCCGTCTTGATGTTGATGCCGTCGATGCCGCAGCAAGAGTCGTGGGTAGCGTCAGTGGGAGTCCTAAGCGGGGCCTTCGCCCCTATCGGAGTCGCCGCCTCCTGTCTCCGGGCCAGCGCCGCGGCGGTGCTTTTGGACCGGCTCGGTAAGTTTTTTGGATCCTCTAAAAAAGGCTCGGGACGGGCCGGCTCGTAAGCGTCGGGTTGCCTCGGCGCCTTTCCGAGTATTTCGGCGGCGCGCATCTTCTTGGGCAGGTACGTCTCGTGTGTGGAGCGGGGCGAAGTCTGCGTTTCGTTCTGGTACGTCTCGAGGATGAGCTTCTTCCCGGGCAGGGGGAGGCGGGGGTCAGGAGGGCGTCGGCGTTGCCAATCGCTACGCTCCGTGGACAGATCGAGGGAGGCGTCGCTGCTGAGGTTGATGGGAAGATTGGGGGCCGGGTCTGGGGGGAGAGACAGGTCGCGGGGGGCGTACGAGGGCTCGAAGTAGGGCTCGGGCCGATACTCGTGGGGGGGATGGGCGCGGGGAGGAGCCGAGTAGGGAAAAGGCGGACGGACCTCATAAACGTAGGGTTGCTGGTAGTACGGGTCCATCTCGCTTTCGTGCTTCACGGAGGGCACGTATGAGGTAGAGGGGGGCGATTCCACGATCTCCTGGGCTTTGTTCTTCTTTGGTCTTCCCGGTGTTCCCTAAAATATTTAATTCATAAACATCATGGCAGAAGCCTTTACTCCATACAGGACCATGCACACGATTTTTTAATTTACAATAAAATATAATTTTACTTAGCAGTAAAAAATTATTCTAACCGAATATATGCTAAAATTATATGTAAAACTAAGTCAGAATGACTTTGGTGTTTTAAGCCCATTTATACCTCCAATATCAGGTACATTTTTTTGGACTAAATTTTAACAGAAGTAATGCATCTACCACATACCTCAATAGGTTTCAAAAAAAACTTTAATACACTATTACTATACCTGTATCTTCCGTTTTAGCTGCTTCATCAATTGAGGGCCAGAAGTTTCTTCTGATGGTACTGAAATAAAAAAATTTCTTCCATTACTATAGGGTAAGGCCCATAAAAATATTGTTAAAAAAAAATTGGCACGTTCTATAGTCTGTGGTTCGTTTATACTCTATACTTAGTTACTTCCTTTTGATGACTTTGATAAACTGGTTGTACCTATCGTAATCTCTTTTATATTAAATCAACAAAACTTTTTCAACAAGTAGTATTCAATAACACTCTGCTAACAAATATATATATATATTTTTATGATACAGAAGACAAACGGGCAGGTGGCTCACCTGATGTTAAGTAATACCGCCGCCCATGGACACTCACACTGCCGGAAGGCTCGGAAGCGCGCTGCCGGATTTTTAAGAATTGGTACGCTCATTGAAGGACCCTAAGTCGAATTGGTTCGGAAATACTTCAGTGGGCAGCTGGTTCCATATAGTGGTGGTGCGCGGCAAAAACAGCCTTAAGAAATGCTCAGTTGTGGAACGACGGACGCCATGGCGATACGTGTTTCCCTAACTTAATAAATCATAAAAGTAATCATGATACAATATTTAAAATCGATTAAGTTGTTTATTACAAACAAAAAGAACAAATATTCGCTTCCAGACACAATGCGTATTAACTACACAATTTTACCAAGTCTGTCTTTTTCCATCACATGTCAAACTCAATTTGACAGAAAGAGACAAAAGAGTACTTCAGTTAAAGGGAGTGAACACGAAAGAAATGTAAAATTCATGATTTTACGTCAAAAATTATTGAATTGTCTTGATATTTCGAAATTACGAGTTCGAGTACCAGAATAATTTTGGTTTTCAACAAGAAAGCAGCTCATTCACAGGAAAAAAAGGAAGTCAGTCAGATACAGAAATGCCCATTGATGAGTTTGTTGACTTGAATATGACATCGTGATGCAAATTAGAATATAGAATTATTGTAATTTAATACATAAACCAACTCAAATGACTAATAATGTAAAATGTAAAATTCCACCTTACACATTTTTGTACCATATTCTTGCAATAAATTATTATTATTAATCCTATAACGCGTTTTCGTATAAAGCAATTTCTATCCCACATATAAGATTTTTCAAGTTATGTTTCTGTAGTGAAATTTATAATGATTTGTCAATTCCATAATTAGTTTTGCGTACCTTTAGTCCTGTTTCAATTGTGTTATAAATTAAACGAAAAAACTTTATTAAATTTAGTTCTAGTTTTTAAATTGTTAAAACGGTTTTACGACAATAACCCTACAACGCGATTTCTTATAACGCGGTCTGGGTCCATAACGTTATAGGGAGTTTACTGTATTAACAAAATATACAATCAGCGAACGAATAAAAAATTATATTGAATGTTAATTTCCATTTACCAAGTACTGCCATAGGCGGTGGAGAGGCACTGGAAGGTCCAGGTCTGGCTCTCATCATCATTGGACCGACGTGACGGGACAGCTCCGTGATACTGCTGAATTTAACACCTGGAATTTGAAGATTTTGCCTCTTTATTGATTTTGATTATGGCCCCGGAAGGACATTTTGAAAATATCTTGTTAATCTCTTTATAAAGTCATTCGTTATAACGAAATATAGTCTATAATGTAAAAATGAGGTTAATTTATTTGGTTTAATATACCCTTACATTAATTGATCCCTCCCTATAACGAAACGGATTGACCGATTCTCATGAAATTTTGTGTGCATATTGGGTATAACTGAGAATCGGACTACATCTATTTTTAATTTTTTTTTAATTTTTAGATAAATTTTTTTATTTTTTTATGATACAGTTTAAAAAATACATACAACCCCTAATTTTCACCCCTCTACGATTAACCCCAATTTTTTATTAAAAATGATATACATGGCAAAACGACGTTTGCCGGATCAGCTAGTAACATATAAAAATGCTCGGTCCCTTGAAAATCGTTATAAGGAGTTTACACTGTAGAGGACAGATTTGTGCATTGCTCCAAAACTACTGGACAGATTCGAGTATTTGTCGACCAATTCTTTCACCATTGGAACCCTGCGTTATTCTGGATAAATAGGCCGAACAAATAGAATATTTTTAAATAATTCTGTATGAAATTACGAGAGTATATATTTAAAGAAAAAACTTTTAACCGGATTAAAGTTATGTATTATTATAAATTTACAATTATTTGACATAATTTTAAATTTATCCGACGTTTCGCGTGCTTTACAGCGTGCGTGGTCAGGGTGACTGAAGACAAAAGGTGTTGGATGTCAAAAAGTATCACAGCTGTAGAGAAAGTTGCATTATCTGTATTTATTTCCCCGGAGTTGGTATCGACTAAAAGATGGAGGGTTTTGGCAAAAATGGATCCTCGCGTCCTCTATTTGAAACTGTCAGATAGCGCTATTCGTCACATAAAGTCCATCATAAGCTATGAGCCCGATGAGGTGGCAAATAGCACAATTTATCTTCCAAATAATTTATGTGTTGCATAGCTATTTGATACTTTATCCATACATTGTGAAACAGACCCTTAATATCATAAATTGTTAACAAAACGAATTTATATTTCATTCGTTCTTCATGCAGTGATTGATACTTAACCAGCGAATCCAAACTCAAACTCAAAATATCTTTATTCATATAGGTAAACAAGTACACTTATGAATGTCAAAAAAGAAGTTAAATTACTTGTAAATTTACATTTACTACCAGTTCGCAAGTCAAGGGCGTAGAGCGGGCAAGAAGACCTGGCAAGAAACTTGCCGCCACTCTTTTTAATCGCTAAGTTTTGAGTCATACAAATTGTTTGAACTGGAGCAAATCAATCCCAAGGATTAGGATCATTTGAATATTCGTCAAATTTATAAAAAGCTTTGTTGATTAATTTACGTTTAACAAGTGCTTTGAATTTATTTAGTTTTTTTCACTTTTCACTTTATTTATAATGGCGACATCTGTGTAAATCACAATTCCGCCAATGTCACGTTCTAAGTCTTCACACAGTGAGGATAGATTTGATAATTTTGATACATTGAATTTTATCTAAGCAGAGTTACCCAAAACAAAAATGACATCACAATAAATACAACACACACAGAAATCTAATAATATATACAAGAGGTTAACATTTTACTACAAGGTATGAAGGGGAGAATCTTATTTATAACTTTAATTTATTAACAGAAATAAATTTCCCTAATATTTTGACGATCGAGCTGGATGGGAGGGAAAGTAGGGAGTTAAGGTTACATGGACGAGGGAAATCTGGAGAAAGATGGTCAAATAACGAGTCATTATTTAAAGAACAGTTAAAAAATATATGGTCTGTCGAGCCCTCGTCCATACCACACTCACAGAGAGAACTGTCTTTTATTTTAATTTTGGCTAGATGAACGGGAGTACAAGCGTGCCCTATACGAAGACGGCAGATTATAGACGTGACCTTTTTGTTTAAAAACTTATATTTAAAAAACCACGGCGAAGAAGGGATTGAATACTGAATATTAGCATAGTGCCTGCCAGTTTTTTCTTTAGAAGATTGCCAATCAATAGTCCAGGATTTTAAAAGGTGGGAGTACGCAAGAGCTGATAGGTCGTGGGCCGAGATGTTGGGATGCTGACAAGATCCGCAGAAAATAGCACCTTTTGCACAAGAGTCAGCAGTTTCATTACCCGCTATACCACAATGACTAGGTATCCACAAAAGTACAATATGAATATCTTTTTTACTACACCTAAACAAAGCTTCTCTTATTTTTAGAATCGTATTATGTTTTTTTTAGACCTGAATGGATTGGAAAGAATTGCCTGTAAACAGCTGCGAGAATCGGAAAAAATTGTAACTTTATTTAGGTTGTGGGACTCAGCATACAAAACCGCTTCTAGGATTGCAAAAGCTTCACCTGAAAAAACGGAGGTCAATGGAGGAAGTTTAAAGCTCAATACTGTTTTGAATGAAGGGACCCATACAGCCGCACCGATGCACTCATTATTGGGAATCTTGGAAGCATCAGTATACATCGATAACCAACCCTGCCAGTCTTTTGAAATTTTTTCCAGAAAACAAGTGGAAGCTTGGGTGGATTTTTTTTCAATTCCAAAGTTTAAAATTATTTTAGGATCAAAAATGAGGGATTCATAACTATTTAAAAACAAGGGATTCCTAGGGAAACTTTCAACAGGATTAGGAAGACGAGAAAGTTTATTAAAACTGTGTAACAGGCATGGAACATTACCTGTACTAGATGGCATCGTGAGATTAGATAAGCGACGTAATTTGGACAAGATGGAATGAGAAGAGTATTGAAGGACTTTGATGAAGAAGCGGTCACTTAAAAATTGTCTACGTAAATACAGGGGGGTCAACACATTCTATTTGGAGAGCATTGATGGGAGAGGATTTCATAGCACCAAGGATGATGCGTAAAGATTTCGATTGAATTTTGGAAATTTTATCAAGGGCTTGCTTGTTGCCAGGATCTAAAAGGAAGGTGCCATAATCAAAATGACTTCGTACCACAGCATTGTATAAAAGCTTTTGCGAGTAGGGGTGTGCTCCCCACCTCACACCAGATAATGAACGGAGAACATTAACACCCTTCTCACTTTTTTTAATCACATGGTTAAAATGAGGAACACCGTTTAACTTTGAGTCTAAAATAAGGCCTAAAAATTTTACTTGCTTACAACACGATACCAAGGACCCTTTATATGAAATGTTACACCGTGGAACCTTGTATTTTGTAGTAAACGTGACCGCCGAACATTTGGGCACAGAAATAGAGAGACCATGATCATTTAACCAATCACCCAAATAATCCAAAGCTGAATTTAGGCGTGATGATGCCTCTTCAATAGAATTTGATGAAAAGTATAAGGCTACATCGTCCGCGTATTGAAGAATCTGACAGAAGGAATTCACAACAAGCTCCAGGTCATAGGTGTAAATGTTGTACAGAAGAGGACTCAAAACAGAACCTTGAGGTAAGCCCCTCCAAATAGATCTAGGAGACAGCTCCGTATTTTGAGATCTTATAATAATATAACGATTCGAAACTGCATTGCAAACAAAACGTACCAACTTCTCAGGAATACTCAGCTGAAGCATTTTTTGCCTGAGCACCGGAACCAGCACGTGGTCATACGCAGATGCGATATCCAAGAAAACACCCACCAGGAACTGTTTCTTTTTAAAAGCAATGCGAATGTCGGTCGTTATTATACCTAGGCTATCCATCGTACTTAAGCCTTTCCTGAAACCAAACTGGGATTTTGCAAAGATATTGTTATTTTCACAAAACCATTCTAAACGAATTTTAATCAAATGTTCCATGATTTTTAAAAGGGTAGAAGACAAAGCAATAGGTCTGTATGAAGAGAAATCTGATGGATCTTTGCCAGGTTTTAGAAGCGGAATGACGATTTGTCTGTTCCACGATTCAGGAATAATTCCAAGATCGAAAAAACAGTTTACTAAATCTAGAAAGTACCTCTTAGTGCCTAATGCAGAATTTATGAGGAATGAGTAAGGGATTCCATCTTCTCCAGGGGAAGAGTCAGAGAGACCATTTAATGCTTTGTTAAGTTCTTCCAAGGAGAATTGACAATCTAGACTGTTTGAAGAGGGGAAGTAAGAATTATACTTATAAGGAAGACAATCATAAAAAGGGACTGATGGAGGAGCCAATTTGTCGGCAAAGGAGGTAATCCAGCTAGACGGATCATTAAATGGGACATCATAAGAATTGAGGGAACAACGGAATCTTCTGATCTGCCTCCAAACAACAGACGAAGGGGTACCAGGGCACATGCTCTCACAGAACTTATGCCAACCAAGACGTTTCTTATTATTTAGAAGTCTGCGAGCAGCTGCAGAAGCTTGTTGGTAGACTAAAAAAATTTTCCAAGGTCATGCAAAGACTGTATGACCTTTCTGCCGTTTTTCTTTTTCGAATCATCTCAGTACATTCGGAATCCCACCAAGGAGGAGAAATTTTCCTTTGTGTAGAAGATTTGAGTGGAATATGTAAACTGGCAGATGAGGTGAGGGAGTTGACAAAATCATTGTATGAAGATAGGCAGTTTTCAGCAGAGACTGCGGGGAGCGCAGCTATCTTAGAGTCAATAGAAGATGAAAAGTCTGACCAATTGGCCTGATTCAGTTTAAATTTTAAAAGAGGGGAAGGGCGAGTAACGCTCCTTAAATTGGTTGGGAGATCAATTAAAATGGGGAAGTGGTCACTCCCACAAGTGCTCTTAAAAACACGCCAGGATAGAAAAGGGAAAAGATCAGGAGAACAAAGTGATAAATCCACTGCGTTAGCGGGATTCTGAGATGGAAGACTCCTTCTCGTAGGACAACCATTATTCAAGACACTTATGTTTATATCATCGAGTAAATCTAGTAGAAGGGACCCAAAAGAATCTGAGGAATGACAACCCCAAGAAACATGGTGGGCATTGAAATCACCCAACATGACAACAGGAGGAGGAACCGAAAGGATAATAGAACGTATATCAGAAATGAGGTCGAAATGGGGGTGGGGAATATAAACAGAAATAAACGAGATATTAAAAGCTCTCATAGCAACAGCATTGATACCATCACAATGAGGAAGAGATAATGCGTGGAAGGTGAGGGATCGGCTGACCAAAAAGGCACAGCCAGCATAGCCATCATCCCTGTCATCTCGGAGACACCGGTACCCAGAAACCCTAAAGCGGGAACCCGGCAATAACCAAGTCTCCGAAATGGCTAGAATAGATGGAGCGAATTTATTGATAAGAAAGGTTAATTCTGATTTTTTACTGCGAATACTGTTACAGTTCCATTGAATTACCAGATTCGCCATTTTTGGTGACGAATGAGTGGAGCAAATTAATTTTTTGGGCAACGTGGGACGGTATGGGGATGTCATCATATTTGGATAGCATATTACAAATGACTGCCCATAAGCAGTCAAGAAGATTTTCATTTGGGGAGACTTCATTGTTGATAAGGGAAGGGAGCTTACGGCACAACCATTGGGTAAAGAGGAGGGTAAATTGGAAGTAATGGCCTCATGGGCCGCCTTATCAAAGGATTTTCCTGATGTTGGTCTAGAGCGAGGAGGGAGAAATACAGTTTTCCTGTAAGATGTAGTCTGACGGGAAACTTGGGAAGGTAAAGTAATGGGCTGGGATAAAGAGGAGGGGGTTGTTTTTACAGAATCTGCAAAAGTTTTGCCATTGATAGGTCTAAACCGAGCCGATGCTTCGAGATAAGAAATGCTCTCTTGAGACATACAACTCTTTATATTTCTTTGTCGATTATGTTCAGGGCAAGCTTTGTTGGTCGCAAAGTGTGAGGCAGTACAAAATAAACATAATGACTCTGTTTCAGGGATATTACACTCATCACCAGAATGGGCTAGACTACAACGAAAACACCTAGGCTTCGATCGGCATTGTGACTTTACGTGACCAAACCTACAACAGTTAAGGCACTGAATTGTAGGGAGTTGGTACGTTTCAACGCGGAGGGAACTATGACAAGAGAATATTCTCTCAGGAAGGGTTTGACCTTGAAAAGTTAGAACAACGGTTTGTGTTGGGATCCAATTAATTTGACCATCGGAGTTCGTCTTGCGGTTTAGGCGTCTGGCCTTGAGGACTATACCTGTACCTTCGGGAATTTCCAAGGTTTCGACAAATTCCTGCATCGACCAATCAGCTGGGACACCTCTCACAAGGCCCATACGGGAAACATTATAGTTAGGAATCGTAACAGAATAGTTGCTGGAAGGTACAATGGGATTAGACACAAAATTATTCGCATCTAAGCCCGACTTAAACTCGACAGATATTCTATTACGTCCCACTCTCTTAACACCATCTCGAACAATGTTGGGTATTTTATTTTTTACCAAGAAGTGACCAAATTTAATTGGGCGGATTGATGTACCAGCGGATGGGTCAGATTCAGGGCAAGAAACATGGACTAAAAAAGGGCCCTTGTCATTGACAAGGTATGACTTGGGAGAGCCAGTGAGAGATGGATGGGAGTAAAATCCTGGGTTGACGTCATCAACAGATGACCGGACATCGGTCATTGGTTTTTTGGAAGGTTCCACTAAAGATTCATTGACAGTATCAAGTCTGCGCTTGACCCCAGGTTGGGGCAACAGTGGGGTGGATAAATCCATTGATTCCACCGGAGAAGAGACCCTATCCGGAGGATCAGGGGGGTCTGGAGGGCGTTTCTCCATTATAGACTACCAAAAATATAACAAGGTAAAGGGAGAAATATAACAAATAAATAAAAATAACTTACGTAATTAGTTGATGTTATTAATTAACCACCACCAATAGGATAAGTCAACTTATATTCATTAAACTACGAGAAAAAATAGAAACTACTAAATAATGATATCCGAAACACGTGTAAACACTTATACCCGCAACGACGGAAAAACCAGACCGAATTTATTTAGTGATAATTCTCTAATTTCGCTTGGCAGTTTTCCTACAGACGTTGTCCTGTACACACGTCTTACATAAAGATCTAATCACTAATGTAAATCATTCTCGACTCACACACACATTTTTTTATCAAAATCTGTCCAGCCGTTTAGGGGTTTAATTACACATGCACAGAAGATGTGTACATATACCAGCTGTTTATTTGCTGTATAGATAAATTAACTAGATACCGACCACAGCTCCATCTGCCGTGCTGATTTGTGAATCTAAACCATCCAGGGCGCCACCCAAACGCATACAAAAAAAATCATTCAAATCGGTCCAGCCGTTTAAGAGGAGTTCAGTGACATACACACGTACAAAAGAATTATATATATAACGATAATTCATTTATTTAATGTCCTGCCACTGTCACTTTGACATAATACATAAGTTTATTTCCGTTTGCACATTCGTAATTAAATGTCATGAGTCCTTGGCATAAACAAATCATTACTTACCGCTAAGCCTGACTTCCATATGTCAAAATTAATTGGATTTTGACATATGGGGCTACTGCTCATTGTCATTGTCAAAAGTTATGACGTACTTTCCGAGGCTATTATTTACTTACCTAACTTAGATTCCGCCCACTCGCATATAACTCTTTCGTGTTCGCTGGTTCCGATGTGACCTTCCTGTAATAATATATATAATAATTTAGTAACAATCAGTGCAATTATACCGTTAAACAAAAGCAATGTTCTGTCTCTATTCGTTGAAGCGTAAACACAAATTAACGGAAAGAGACAAAAGGTCTCAGTAGTCCCTTTATTGAATTTGAATTTAAAACATACTTTTGTACAAATCTGATATGCCTTTAGCGTCTTTGGCAGTGTTGGCCTAGTGGCTTCAGCATGTGACTCTCAACTCTGAGGTCGTAGGTTCAATCCCCGGCTGTGCACCAATGTACTTTCTTTCTATGTGCGAATTTAACATTCGCTCGAATGGTGAAGGAAAACATCGTGAGGATACCGGTTTGCCTTAGACCCAAAAAGTCGACGACGTGTGACAGGTTGATCACCTACTAGCTACATTGACAAATGATCTGAGATTCAGAAATCTGAGGCCCAAACCTAAAATGGTTGTAGCGCCACTGATTTATTTTTTCATAGCATGTTATGATGTACCTGCGTGTGTGATGTTCGGGTATAGCGACTGTTTTTATTGAATCATTTCTAACAAATTCAATAATATATAATATACTAGCGAACCCGACAGACGTTGTCCTGTACGATTTTTCAAGCGATTAGGTTATTAAACAAAGTATGAAAGTACAGACTGCAGCGCCATATGCGGGGCTTATTTGTGAATATAAACAATCTAGGGCTCCAACCAAACGCATTCAAAAAATCATTCAAATCGGTCCAGCTGTTTAAGAGGAATTCAGTGACATACACACGTACAGTAGAATTATATATATGTAAACTATCCTATCTTTTAAGTTAGAACAGACTGTACACGGTGTGCAAATTTGATTGAAATCGCTTAAGTAGTTTAGGTGTCCATAGCGGACAAACAACGTGACGCGTAATTTATATATATATATATATATACTAGTAGACTCGGCCAAGCCTTGCTCTGGCTAAGATTTTTGTTATATTATATAGTAGTAAACTATTCAAGGGAAACGGTAGGAGAACTTATGTGAAAGGTAGATGACAGCTTATGTGAAACGTTGATAATTTTAACACAGCGCCATCTGTTAGAATTGTATCAAATAATAAACAAATATTTTGCAATAAATTAAAATGGCGACTATAATTTGAGATTTAAACTATCCTATCTCTCAAGTTGGATCGAACTGCACATGGTGTACAAATTTGATTGATATCGGTTCGGTAGTTTAGGAGTCCATTGAGGACAAACATTGTGACACGAGATTTATATATATTAAGATATAATATAAATGCCTAATATCTTTTGTAGACAATCACACAGATGGTCAGCAAGTGTGGAGACCTCTACATTTCATTTATAGATATTGTCTAAGTGTTTAAGCGTATTCCGCAACGAAATGATATTCTTAGTAATGTCTTCCAACTCAGAATATGTGTATGTAGAAGACTTTTTAACTTATAATTTAATTTAACACACGATTTTCATTACTCACACTTCTAACTTTAATATTATTATTTTTTTTATTTTTTTTCTTTGCTACTGAGGCGCAAACTAGCTGCTGTGGTCTCTGGTAGAATGACCAGCGCTGTGAAACTTTTTGCTCCTCAGCATAATGCTGAGCCAGGGCCAATTACAACCACAGTACACATTGCACACTAGAAGCGAACCGAATGGCAAAAGGGAATTTTTAATTTTAATTTTTATTGTTTTTGATATGTCTTATTTTATTTTTGAAGTTATACTTCTTTAGGCGCGTTATGAAAAATTGATGAGAGTGAAATTTTACTATGCGCGCGCACCGTGACACAAAATTAACAGAATGAAGTTGCCCACGGAAGATGCTACGGCATTGGACATAATTTAAAAACAAAATTCGAATAATAATATAATTTATGTTACACTTAATGTAAGAGAATAATAATAAATATTTAATTTTTTAAATGTAAACTGAACTTTATTGACTATAATGACTCCTTGTCCAGTCTTTGATTATTTAATTGTAATTAATTATTTGCATGCAATCAAAAACTATTTTTAATAATGCCAAAGAAGTATAACTTCTAACGCGCGTACATAAGTACACGCACCCTTTTTTTCTTTAAGTATTGTTATTTTGTGTGTTTATGTGTGTGAGTTTTCGTATGTAATAAATGTTATGTCTATGTCTACCTTTGCCTGTAACGACGTCCAAATACAACTACTCCAAATAATCCACTGTATATATTATTTTCAAAACTTCAATATAAATGTTTACAATACAATGAATTTTCTATATTGTAAGTATTTAAATTGCTCACTTTCGTTCCGTTTCAAATCCGTTTTAAGTGCGATTTATTTTACGATGTTTTCAGATATGTGTGCAGCAGATATCATATCATTTTAATTGAATTAAAAAGAATGTTGAATCAGAGTCGTTAGAAACTATTTTGATATTAATTATAATTGACGACTTGGTCTAGTGGTTAGTACCCCTGACTGCGAATCCATGGGTCCCGGGTTCGATCCCCGGCTGAGACGAACATCGATGTGATGAGCATCTGGTGTTGTGCTTAGGTCTTGGGTGTTTAAATATGTATTTATGTGTCTATATATCTATAATATGTATGTATATCCATTGCCTAGTACCCATAACACAAGCTTCACCAGCTTAGCATGGGACTAGGTCAATCGGTGTGAATTGTCTTTAAAAAAATATATATATAAAATAAAAAAAATATATGTTGGAGCGTGCGCTCTAGAAGTTCATGGGTTCGAATCACGGCTGTGCTCTCATTTGAACTCGCTCTTACGATGAAGGAAAACATTGTGAGGAAACCGACATAGGACCGAAAAACCGTAAAAAAAAAATTATGGATCATAAGATACAGGTATCACTAAATTTGAATCTGTAGACATCCCTACTCATTGGCAAAGAAGACAGAGGGTGTAGGCCGAGAGAAAAAACTCTCGGTACTCTTTTAAAATTGCAAATCATCAAACAACACTTATTTCAAAACAAATTTCGCAAATTAATTAGAAGTAGCCTGTCTAGCACTAGTCCCAGGCCCTTTTATCAACTAGATAATCGTTAACTTTATAGTAAGCCTTTTTACACAGCTTTTCTTTAATACATTTCTTAAATTTATTAAAAGGCAGATCTAAAGGGCCTCTGGGATTTTATTAAAGAAGAGTATCCCCTTTCCCACAAAAAAAATACTAACTTTAGATAGTCTAGTACGGGGAAATTGGAGCCTGCGTTTTTTCCGAGTATTAACATTGTGCGTATGTTCTATTCTAGTAAACTTATCACTATTTTTGTATAACAGGCGCTGGGCTGGACCTACGTGTCTATTAAGAAAAAATATATACAGGAATTCCAGGCCAACAGGTAGTCTGGTTCTTCTTTCAATAAAATTACCTTGGATGACTCTCCCAAATCAGGAAGCTGAGGGACTTCAAGCTTAATTTTCTTACGAAGACCTGCGTAACAGTACCTAAAATAAAATACAAATAATTTTGTAAATATACCGCGCATGCATTATTTATGCAACACTTATATTAACTAAAATCCATATACTTTATTTTATTAATAAAACGTTCTAAAACCTGAGTATTTTATTGCCGTGGCAAGTTTATTACTTTTTTTATATCGTCTATCTTAAAATATTATAATCTACTTAATAAATAGTTCACTAATACTATGGTATAAAAATATAAATAAATAGCAACATAATTTGGTTTGGTCCAGGTTATCCAGATTCTTTCAAATTAAACAAACTATAAATAAACCTGTGAATAATAATTTATAACCTCTTGGATACTTGGATATACTTGGACCGATAAAACACCGCGTTCCGATCTAGCAAGTTATCGGATCGTTAAAAACCGGATGCCGGAGTAGTGGAGAAGTACGTAAGTACTGTTGTGAGTTTCTAAATCGGATCGGTAATTAACGTTTGCCGGACCGGAGCAGTGGAGAAACGGCCTAATATTAAGTTTCATAGAACACTAGCTGTCACGCTTCGCAGTGGCACATTGTGATTGAATGGTTGAATTTCGATTTGGTAATATGCGTAGTTCGATCAAGACACGATCACACAAAAGTTCCTTGATTTAAGTAAATATTTAATTCAGATTGTATAATAATCAGATGCAATTTTTTACAATGTAATTGTGAACGAATATTGTATCTCATGTGACTGCGCCATTACTATTGCGGTTGTCAGCGAGTGCTTTCCTCGCGGCAGTTGGCGCGGCCACTGGTACACAGCTGATCGTTAAAAAAACTGTTTCTTCGCGGTCGCGGATATGTAACTGATGCAAAAAATAGATCTTAAACCTGTCAGCTTAAGTCGAAGTAGGTCTGGACTAAATCTAAGACCCCGAACTATAGAAGCAATTATAAAGGCCGGCAACGCACTTGCAAGCCTTCTAGCTATGTTACTGTTCATGGCGGTGATATCACTTAATCATTAGGTGAGCCTCCTGCCCGTTTGCCCTCTGTTATATAAAAACGGCGTACTCTGAAGACCGAGTACGTCGCCGGCCTTTTAAGATACGCTCCTATCTTGCCTCCTAAATCAAACTATTACGGAAATCAATGGCAGATTGGTTAGTTAAATTATTTTACCTTGAATTCCCTCTCGTCCCTAATCTCCTAGGCCGCACAGTTGGGTAGACCTGCTTCATTACTTTCCCAAAATCGGCAGTCGATAGTGGCTTCATATTGCTACTCATACAGTGAGCGCTGAAAAAGGATTTCTAAATTAATTATATAGTCAGGTAGGGTAAATGCATGAACGGGGCAAATGTAACCATAACTTTAACTGTTTACACACAAAATAAACTAGTGGTGGCATCTCTTATACACGTAAAGTACTTCTTGTTCGTTCTTCGTATCTTTATCAACAAAGAAATAGATTAAAAGGTTCTTCTTTATCAAAATTACTTTACATTGAGTCAGTTGATAAAATATCGAAATATGTAATAATTCGTTCTGTTCCTTAATAAATTTCGCACGATTTAACTATATTTTATTTCTTTGTCAATATCGATGTTTTTCTATTATCGATCATCCCTAATGCAAATGCACTGCACACAATAAAGCGCGGCACTTGTATAAACAGACGCGCGCGGCACGCCGCGCTCTATTTGGTCACGCCCTTACGTGTACAATATTAACCTTAAAGATTAATCAAGATTAAATATTAATTTCAAGGGCTTTGGCTTCGTAATTTGTTACGAAATCACAAGTGATATAACACGATAAAAGATAATAAACGCAGCAATCGCAATAGGAAGCGATTGAATGAATAGATAATATAAAATTTCAGAAAAAAAGTGAAGCTAAGCCCCAAAGACTCTGTTAGGTGTTGAGATAAGGGGAGAAGAAGAGTGTTAAAAAGAATGTTGAAAATTGAAGAAACTGCGTAAGTGTGTTAAACATTCATTCATCTGTATTTTTAATTACATAATTTACCGCTAGCTGGCGCCACATTCGCGTTCAAGTAGGCATTGGCGATCACTAACGCCCGAAACCAATAATTAATCCACAATCTCAGATTGAAAACAATATGAGATCAGACCTCCATGGCTGTATGGTAGTAATTTGTGGTGCAAGAAACTAATTATATCTTCAATCTTCTTTGATTAATTAATATGTAAAAGAGTTTGACATTCCATCATAAAAATGTCACTTCTTCCAACTGGAGGATAATAACGAACTTCACTTATAACGCCCGAACCCAATATTTTTTTCTCCACAATCTCATCATCATTGTTGAAAACAATCTGAGATCGGACCGTCGATCGATCTCCTATCTGCATCCCAATAACTAAACCCTACAAAGACGATCCATTTTTGGCGACGGATAAAATGCTCTTTATCGTTCCATTTTACCGAGTTTTCACTCATACTTGATAATCAATGTAAACCAAATAAAGTAAATAGAACCGTACAAATAACATTAAAATATACATGTGTATGTTTAAAACATAACAAACAGTTTTTTTTATTATTTAAAATAAGGTGTAAGTTAAACTCTGTTAAAATAATTAACTGTTGAAATCGAGCTTTCGTCAACTGTCATTTTCATACAAAGGTCAATATCCACAAACACCGATACGACCCATGGATAGCTTGTATCGACAGATGGCTATTACAATGCGTCGATTGGTTATTGGCACACTTGTTACAACGTTAAAATTACTATCCCAGATGGTGGATTATGGTTTGAGATAAGTTATTGGGTTCGGGCGTAAGTCGAAGTTTGTCTTCGAATACAGATATGCATGATGGATTTTGAGATACAGGAGTATTTGTTCGTGCAAGTCTTCTTACTGACTCTCACCTTCATCATCACAATCATCTTAAACGAACGAAAACGACCTTATAATTATAATATTTGAAGCTTACTACGACTTATCAGTAGTATTACGTAAATATTGATAACGACCACGTGTTATGATTATAACATGCTTCCCTATCGTATTATTGTGTGACGCTACCAAATAATAAAATAACGATGTGATATAAGGAGAAAATCCTTATAAAATAATAGCATAACTATAAAAAGAGCATATTAAGTTTGTAGTCTATGCTCTTTCGAAAATAACATCCATGAATCCCCATCACATAACTCTTCTTTCACTCTCCACCCCTATCTGCTTAGCTCCTTCACTATCTTCCTTTAAATCTTTCCTGTACAAGTGTGCATTACCTGTCCACATCGTATCCTTATATTATAATTGATTTGATTTGTCCATTCTTTGTCTAAGTAATTGTATATCTTATGTAGTTTTCAACTTCTTGCGCTCATTTTATCAATTTTTTTCCTTACAGTGGTTGCCTGGATCGCTCGAAGGCGATAGGGCCGCAGTTCCCTTCGTATTATTTAATTATTTTGATTGTACTGAATTTCTTGCAACGAAATATAAACAAATAAATAATCCTCTCCATTTCAATCGTGACTTTAATTATTGTATTTGTGTTTCTTAAAATTAGCTTTTACTATTTTTTTACGGTTTACCCTCAGTTCTCTTTTTTCTCTTTCCTGCAATGTTGCTAGGAAGAGATGCGCTTATTAGACATAGAAATAACATTTATTACAAACAAAACACACACATATAAGCACACAACAATAATCAAAGAGAAAAAATAAAATGAGACAATATCAAAAACAATAAAAAAATCCTATTTCCCATTCGGTTCGTTTCAAGTGTGTAATGCGTGTGTGCTGTGGCTGTAATTGGCCCTGACAGAATGTTCCACAGCGCTGCTCATTCTGCCAGAGACCACAGTAGCCTCAGACAAATATAATGACAAGGCAATCCCTATATTAAACATAATGTTATCTGATTTGTGTACTATTAATTAATGAGGTCGTAGGTTTGTTTCCCGGCAATTCAATTGTTTTTCTATGTGCGTATTAAACTTCATACGGTGAAGGAAAACATCATAAGGAATCCGGCATGCCTTAGAAGCAAAATGTCGCCGGCACGTGTCGGACGCAGAATGCTGATCAGCTAGTAAGACTCCACGTTGATGAATCAATCAGTAATTTATTAATAATGCATTAATCATTTACGTAATTGCACCTTACATAATCTGTATATAAAACAAAAGTCGGGTTTCAAACACTTATAACTTGAGGCGGGGATTAAATTACGCGTTATTGTTAATATTATTTTTGACTTAGACCACATAATAGTAACTAAAGAGTCACTAGGTGGTCACGAAACGTTTTACTATACTCGAGTACAATACTGTACTTGGGTACTGAAAAACGTTACGGCGAGTTACATGGGGGGTCAATAATCTCCAAAAATTGCGTTAATACTTGAACGCTCCCTTAACTAATTTTCTGGGTTTAATAAATACCTATCACAAATAAATTATATACAGAGAATTAATCATACACGTGTATGAATAATGACCGATATAGAACTTAAGAGTAATTATAATAATTGGTCCACGATTCACACAATTAATCAATAAGAAAATGTGTCTAATTATTTGTCCTTTTATAAACTAATTATTTTAATTATACAGCTAACCTGCCATATAACGCCATATACCTGGACCGCGTTATAGAAAATCGCGTTGTAGGAGTATTCTCGTAAACCCGTTTTTTGAACAATGTGGTCCTTACATTTTAATAAAGTTATTTAGTTTAATTTTATAACAACACAATTGAAACAGGCTCAAATTTACGCAACACTTATTATTACTTGACAAATCATTATAAATTTCACTACAGAAATATAACTTGAGAAACCTTCGCGATATAGGGGGAAAATACAGCGATATAGGGGGAAAATACAGCGTTATATGGGAGACGGAAATCACGTTATACGGAGATTATTGTATATTATGTACATAAAGTGCCTAACCTAACCAAAAAACTAGTCCAAAATTATTTTTATCAGAAAATATTTAAAATAAATAGCATAATATAGACCACAAGGCCGGATCCAATGATCAAGAAGAAAAGAACATTAGACCCAGTTCTTATAAAACCTTTAATATCGCTTTATCAAACACCGTCACCTTCACAGCAGAAACAGAAAGAGACAAATGAGTATGTGGAGGAATGGAAGCTCATCCTTCTGACTGGCCCGAAGGATCGAGATCATATATACACACTTGGTTATACTTCGATAATTTATTGCTTACTAGCAGACTTGGCCAAGCTTTGCTGTGGCTAAAGTTTATGTTATATGACATAGTAGTAAACTATTCAAGGGAAACGGTGGGAGAACACCAGTCATGGGGAACCATGCTTTTTTGGTGGTTATGCCATTAAATTGCAGCCTATGTGAAACCTTGGTACTATCAAAACAGCGCCATCTGTTAGAATTGTGACTGTCAAATAATAAACAAATAATTTGCAATAAAATAATATTACGAGTATAAATGAAGATGTAAGCTATCCTATCTTTTAAGTTAGTTTAAACTGCACACGGTATGCAAATTTGAAATCGGTTAAGTAGTTTAGGAGTCCATAGCGGACAAACAACGTGACACGTAATATATATATATTAAGATATGGCTTGGTTTTAGTTGTAGTAACAGATTATAGAGTGTACAAGTTCTTTAGTTAAATTTTTAGTAAGACTGAAATGATGAAAATGATGCCCCTGAATTTTGCGTAAAGAATAAGACGCAAAAACAAAATATATTATTTCATAACTAGAACAGCTATAAACGTCAGTAACATACTTCTTAATTTACATTTACTGCCAGTTTTCAAATAATATTAATCTTTATTCATTTTTCTCACAAAAACTTAGTAAATAAACATGTGACAGTTTTATACTATTATAAATAATTGTCCTTCTGCTATTTAGGGAAAATTCCAGTTTGTGTGAGACTGATGCCTGCTAAAAAAGAGTACCTGTGTTACAGGTCATCAGGCCTCCATCCACTTCGGATCGACAGAAGGTCTTAAAAAGTAGAGAAAAATTTAGTGAGAACAAACAATCTTTATTACATAGGCTGCAACGTTAACAAAAAAAATATTTATAAGGATACACATAAGGAAACCACATGGGGTATGTGTGTGTGTGTATGTGTGTGGGTGTGTGTAGGTGGGTGGGTGTGTGTATGTGTGTGGGTCTGTGTATGTATTATTACTTAATTGTTAATCTTATAAAGCTAAAAATATTACACTATAAATTATTACCTAACATTTTACATAAATTGAGTATCAACTTTATACTCAACTATTTAATTATGGTAAGCATTTTTTTTTGTTTCCTCATAGTTGAGGTCCAGTAACGGCAGTGCAACCGCCTTCTTGCACTCATGTTTTGTTAGAAAATATTTGCAACGGGGAGTACATCAAGAAGAACTGGCAATAAACTCTCAAGGCAGTCAATAATTAGTGCATAGCTGTATATACAGCCAGCAGCCATCGGCCCCCTCTGCATATTGTAGGGAGAGAGACAATCTATAGTACTCACATGTATTCATCGTAGACATCCTGTTTTGGTAGAGAAACGTCTGGATCTACTTCCAAGTGTGTTTGTATCCAGGTGACAGTTTGTTGAAGCTCTGCTCTAGAAACATAAAAATCACTGTATTAGAAAGAAACAATATTTAACAATTTATTAACCTATCGTAGATAATCTTTTTAAAACTATATATTTTTTTTTATGTAATAGGGGGGCAAACAAGCCTAAAGGGCAGTCATCGCAGCCCATAGACACCCATTTTTAGTGGGGGCGTTGCCGGCCTTTGAGGGAGGAGTACACTTGAAATAGTTGGAGGTTGGATCTCTCAGGGAAGATCCCCACAGGGAGTCGATTCCACAGTTCGCTAGTTCGCAAAAGAATGCCTTGTGAAACAGACTGTGGAAGACTTCCAGCCATCAACCCAAACAATTCTTCAGAACACTCACCGTAGTACACCTTATAGAAAACGCAAAGAAACACAATGTCTCTGCGTAGAGAGAGAGAAATGCTAAAAAGGTCATCACTCAGCTAATTGTTAAGAACATCAACACTTATGTGACCGCTTGTGCTAATTTCCTAATCAAGGAAGCCCTCCATTGAATATCTTTATTAGTAATCAATTAGATTCAAAAATATTGTGACAAAACAAAATATTAATGTTTTGAATAACACTGTCCCTCTTTTTTAGCCACAGATGTTAAGAAATAAAGTTTTAATTATTATGTTATGTACACTTTTATAAGTTAAAAAAAACTAGCTAGGGTTTTGCTGAGAAAAACAGCAAGGAAGTTGGTAGTCACAAAAAGGTCAAAACAAATCAGTCTCGCAAGTTCTTGGTTAGGGAGCGTTCAAGTATTACGTAACGAGTTTTGGGAGGGGGGTCCTTTTGTAAAACGTTACGATGCGGGGCGGGGATTGAATTACGCGTTATTGTTAATATTATTTTCGACTTACACCACATAATAGTAACTAAAGAGTCACTAGGTGGTCACGAAACGTTTTACTATACTTGAGTACAGTACTGTACTTGGGTACTAAAAACGATACGGCGAGTTACATGGAGGGGGGGTTCAATAATCTCCAGAAATTGGGTTACGTAATACTTGAACGCTCCCTTAGAACTAGCAATGATCATTTGGATTACACAGAATTTTTTTTATTACTACATAAACTACTGTATCATGTGTATATATGACAACTTAGCTGTTCTCCTCAATTTCAATATGAAACATTTACTACTCTTTAATTTTAATATGTACAGTATTATTTTTAAATACATAAAAACGCATTTGTAAACAAACTGTTTAGCTTTATAATAATTATAAATTATGCACTGTGATTTAATTTGTTTTATCTATTTCAATGTTGATTCTTAGTATCTGAGTTAGTAATGTAACAAATTATGAATTCCTAAAATAAAAACCAAAAGAAAGTGAAATAAACCAAGCGACAGATACATATTACACTCACCTCGAACCTAATGGATTAACAGGTTGTTTTAAAGGATCATGTGGGGGAACTCCAGTTGGTAAACGGAGATATAACAACAACCTCTCAGCACCACTGAGGGCTTCTACTGCTTCCAGTAATTGTGCAACCCTTTGCCGTCCATCTTGGCTGAAATTATATTAGTTTATTAGAATAGATTAATAGGTATACACTAAACTAGTTAGTACCAGTACAGACAATTTTATATAGAGAGCATTTTCATACAGAAAATGTAAATACCTATATTGTGTTTTATTTGACCCACCCACAAAGAATGTGTTTTTACTGATTAAAATTAGGACATAGTTTAAATAATAGTGATCTAGTGTGCTTTCAGTGTCAATATATATATTCCTATATACACTGGAATAATGACAAAAAATTCTTATTAAGTATTATTTCCTAATTAGAATTATTTCATTATAGTTCTCTCAGAGAAAAAGCTAAAAATTATCTTTAAGAAATGACAATAATGTAATTCCAATTCCTGCCAAAAATTCTCTGTTTATGTTATGTTATGGGTAACCTTGGATGGGTACAATAACAAAACAAAATACATACATTAACCAATACAATAAATAATAGACAAATTATAGATTAGTACATGACTTGTTAAAAGAACCATCATATAGAGTGCATTATATAGAAATTTTGGAATGCAATAGGTGTTTGTAGTAGAACTAAATAAAAATAGTCAATTTAAAGCAAGTTTATTAAAGATATCATGTATCAACCAAATCATGATTGTTTTATTAGATTGAATAAACTAAGAAATAAAGAAATGTTTACTATTTATGCCATCTTAAAATAAAATTTATCAGTTATCTACCATTGATAAATGTAATTGTTATATTTTATGCTTTATTAAATTATAAATTGTCTACATTAACATGTTCACTCATAGTTTTAAATTATGACTATTGTTATTATTTAGATTTTATAAAGTATATGAATATTTATGTTTATTGCTAAATGAAGATTAAATAATGAACACAATTTAATTAGAATAACCAAATGTTTCAAATCTAATAAAATAACAGCAGAGTGAATATATAACTTAATAATTACTGTAAGTTACATTACATTAATAATGAGTATTTTGCACAAAGATTTATCACTTAAATTTGCATATGTAAACAAAATAAGTATAGGAATGACGGACCTGATTAAATCAAATATACTATGCAGTTAGATAAGCTTCATATAGAACCTATCTCTTATTCTGGACTTCACTTCTCAGATACAGAATGAATCTTATTTGTACACTTACCTTATGGTATTTTCAACTATTTGTTGCATAGAAGCTATTTTTCCTGAATCCATTTTGGATTCCTTTCCAGTAACTGGATCCAAGCTCGTTTCCGATGAAGTTGATGGTCCCGGATTATTACTTGAAGCAACGATAGTTTCTTTATCGTAAGACGCAATTTGCCTATGTTTTGGATGATTGACATTTTCCCGATGAAGTTTCGCGTCATCCGCTAATTCTCTCTCTGATTTTACTAATTTGGAACTCTCTTCAACGGCCCAAGGTTGAAATGGAGTAGTGTTCTCCATCCTAACCACGGCAGGATTCGAATATCAAAGTAATTAACTTCATAATTTATCATTAATTATTTTTACATTAAAAGCGTAACAAAACTCCATTTTCATTTTCCAGTTTCCCTAACAAATGACAATTTGCTAAAGGTATAATGACAACAATTGAAAGATATTTAATTATTTTGGCATGTAATGTAAAAATCAGCTGGCTGGGGGCTTAGTCAAGATGCCTTATGACATAAATACAGTGAATGTCAAATGTCAATACCTGTGATCAAAGCTAGTCAATCAAATTGTATAGCCCGTTGTTAGTTGTTGTGTCCTAAATCTAGATGTATGATTACAATACAATAAATGTTGTATATTATATTTATTAATACAATTTGAAATGAAGAAATAACATAGAACTGCTAAAATAGCAAATGAAGGGATGATGATATGATCGTTGATTTTAAACGTTTTTTTTACTAAGTATTACGTACGCTTAGTGTTTTTTTTTAATTATCAAAGATAATCAAACTGGCTGCCCACAACACAGGTAATCCTAATGTGGGGGCCAGTGCACTTTACTTAATCTACACAACCTGTATATTGTGTATAATAAAGTTTTTTCTTTCTTTCAAAATGATTTATATAAAAACGTTTAATTTTTTCACTTGTAGAAAACAAAAGCAATTATATCGGGTGTTGAATTAAAGATATAGGATGGGTATGTGTTGGATTCGATGGGATGGAGAAATAATATAAAATAGCATTGTTGCAAAAGAAAAACCATATTTTCGTTTATCCACTCTCACGTACGGGCCGCGCGACTGTTTTCACGTCAACCGTACAGCTACTCGCGCGTCTTTGACCCGCGCGCATCGCGCCCGCTACATCGCAACAAAAACCATTATATCTGTTGAAATATAATAACTACAACTATGAAAAAAATACTACAGCATAGGTTGAAGTATATAGATTAAAACACATTTTGTAATAATTGGATAATGTTAATAAATTAGTACTTAAAACGGGATAAAACATTTGAGTCTGAGCAAAAATGCTTAAATTTTTTATAGATTTAGGCCTTACGCAAAAAATATAAACGATTTCGAATTAAGAATAATTTTACAAAAAACTAGACTAATTATCCTTTCAAAAGATGCCAAGATGTTTATATTTAATCAACATTGTGTAAGCTAATAAATCAAATCAAAACAATCACTTTTCGTAATTTTACCATAGCCTCTTGAGTCGCGCGCTATGACTTTTTTGTGCCAAGATGGCCGCCTGTCTAAGGTCTCCCACACACCATGTAGTTTTTTAACTAACTAAAAAATAGGGTATGTTCGATTTGTTTCAATCGTTTCTTTTTAAATGAAAAACAGAATAACAGTGTTGTAAATTTTAATGAGACATTTTTGATAAGATTTCGAGTTGTAAATGATAATCCACCGTTTCTCCACTGCTTCCACGTCCCCCGCGGTCTCCACGACTGCCACGGCCATCATCATCATATCATAATCAGGAGACATAAATAAACACATTACACCATGCGTAACAAAAAATTGCAAACATATTTTTCGTTTCTACAAACCCTTATTTATGACGTTTGTTCTAACGTCCGTGGATACCGCACTGTCCATAACGATAAACCTGTGGAACACCTCAATATTATTTGGGAATCTTAAATCATCTTAATGTATTTCTATTTGGAAAAGGCATGAATATGCTTATGAAGGACTCTACATTCATTTTTAACTATTAATTCACTAAACAGACGTAAACAAATCATCAAAATCAGCCAACAACTTCTAAGAAGCCATTTTGCTCTTGACAAAAATATTTTAAAGTTGAAATTAAACTCAATTTAGCATTAAAAACTATATAATCTTATCATAACCGTAAAGTACAAATATTCAAGTTTATTTTGATGTATGATAATTAAAGAAATATAATATAAAACTAAAGTACTTACGACATAATTGCTGAAACTCCGAAACACTTGTTCCCAAAATTCACAAGAACGAGTCAATTGAGTTTGGAATTTTTTTTACAGAGAACTAATCATATTTCATTGCCATCTGTAGTGGTAGGGGAGCCCAAGAGGGGATTTCGGGATTTACTAAAGCGCGGCAGATTAATATACAGGGGGATAGCTTGTACTCGGTTAAGTACCTCCACAAAACATGAGGTCCATATATAAGGCCGCCTGTGAAGGAGACAGGATCAGATTAGTAAAAAAAATTGACCATCAGAAATTCCCGAGCGCATCAGATTAAGGTAGGGTGAGTTAATTACATCCTAAAAAGTGTATATTCCACTAATCTGACAATTTGAGAGTGACGGAAAAAAGGGAGGGCAACAAAGTTGTAAAAAAAAACGTCATCTCGACATTCTCGAGCGTAGCTAATTTTTTTTTATTTTGAAGGAAATAATTCAAGAATAATGAAAAAAAGGGTGCGTGTACTTATGTACGCGCGTAAGAAGTTATACTTCTTTGGCATTATTAAAAATAGTTTTTGATTGCATGCAAATAATTAATTACAATTAAATAATCAAAGACTGGAAAAGGAGTCATTATAGTCAATTAAGTTCAGTTTACATTTGAAAAATTAAATATGTAATTATTTATTATTATTCTCTTACATTAAGTGTAACATAAATTATATTTAGTTAAAATTATATATTATTATATATTTAGAACATCTCTACCAAACACTAAGAAGTATGTTGTTGCTTTGGCAGTATTGCACAATATAAAATTAATAAATTTCTTTGAAAAAATAATCAAAACTCCTTTAGGTATTTGTTTAAAAGGTAAATGACAAATGTCATTATGGTCATTCAAAATTCTTGGCATACGAACTTCACGCATATTCTATTTCTTTTTACTTGTAGATTGTCTTATTCCTATCTCGCTCGCGCACGCTATAATCACACTCCCAATTTTGTGTCATAGGTGCGCGCGCATCGTAAAATTTCACTCTCATAAATTTTTCATAACGCGCCTAAAGAAGTATAACTTCAATATATAATCTGACGATTTCCGCAAGCCGAAATAACAAAAATTCGTCGATAAAGTTAAATGCGTGCAGCTGCGTGATGCCTACATTTCCTTAAACCGATCGGAATCTACTAAACGGCGTTCTAAATATTTCCCTCAAAATTACATTTCCTGTGAATTTGAACCGATTCGAAACGATAGATTTTGAGAAATTTTGAAAAATCTTAAAAAATTAAGAAATATTTTTTTTTAAAGTGGTTTCTTTATCGATCAACTTCAAAAACTAATCCGCCTTTGAGCTTGAAAAACCACGTTGATCGCCACTAAGCTGGTCAAAAGCGGTTGATTCGTTCGAGAGATATCGTGAACGAAAGAAACCCGAAAAAGTGTTTATTCGGGATTACTCCGAAATTTGTGGTTCGATCAATTAAAATTGCAAAATTACTTATGAGGATGATAAAACTGCGTCGAATGCCGCCAACCGCGTGAAAATTGCTTGATCCATTCAAATGTTATTGCGGTTTGAAAATTCCAAAAATAGTGTTCTATGAAACTTCTATCAGACTTTCGAGCTGGGAGAGCTCAAATGCATAGAAATTTATTTCTTTGAACTCAGCGAGCTCAAAATATCAATTTTAAGCGCCCAGGAATGGAATTAGCGGGAAGTTGCAGGGATGGCCCTTTAGGTGAACCGTTTTTCTAAATTTTTTTTGTCAGATCAGGCGAATCCCTCTAGATAATCGTCAGATTATGAGACAGTACGTTTAGAACATAAAGATGAACCACATATATCTTAATCTGACGCGCTTGAGTATTTCAAAATTGCGATTTTTTTTGCAAATTATGAAAATGGCTGTGGGTTTGCGTCCCATCGAAATCGTCAGATTAGTGAATGAGAGCTTTTTTTTGGTGCACTTAACACTCCCTTAGAAAATCTGACGCGCTCGATAAAATTATTTTTTTTTCATTTTCAACCCTTAAATACAACCACCCGCATCATGCAAACGATCAGATTAACATACGTACATTATTAAAAATACGTAGGGCATAGATGCTATCAATATCTGACGCGCTCGAGGATGTCCATGCAACAGTTTTTTTTTACATATTTAACTATCTATAGCCGCTTCCCCCACCGATGAAAAGGAATTTATCATATAACATTTTTTTCTTCTTATTATCTAAGCTTTGCATCCCAATAGGTCTCTACGACGCTCGAGTAAATCCCCATTTAGCATCGTGGGCTCCCCTACCATAGTTTATTGGGTGAACTGTTTCCTAAGCTATCATTCTACGTCGATAAAAACGTTTATTTCTAATCTCGGTTTCAACTAGATGTCATTTTCTTAAACTTGTCGTTTTGGATACTGTAGTATCCATGTACGGATGCCGCCATTATTTTTTTGGATACTGTAGTATCCACGTACGTAGAGTGGTTATAGCTGTTGTACGGATTGGAGATTGGATTGTGGAAATCACATTCTAATACTCTTACCACACAATTTACACTCAAGTTTAACAGAACTAAAGATTAATTAATGTTTTTAAGGTAAATGCAAATTATAAAAAAAAAGTGCGTGCGCATAAAGTACACAAGTCAGAAGTGAAACTTCTTTGTAAATTAATTATTGAGTAGCTAAGCTGCCCAAATCCCATGCTTAAATTTTGCCAATCTTTCTATATTAATGAATGATACTAAGGCTAATTAAAAACCAGAACTAAAATTAGTTGTTGTTATGTACATATTATATAGAAATACCACCATAAATATGGTCACAATTACCTAATAATATAACAAATTCATTATTATCATAATTGCTTACTTATATCCACATTTTCTAAAATAGCCAACTGGGTCTTAGCACAATTTCTGGGCCCTTATAAAAATACCAAACTACCAAAAAAAATGTAATTTAGTTACTTAATAAAATAAAAAAAGTGTGTGTGTACAAAGTACACATGTAAGAAGTGAAACCTCTGTGGCCTCCTCTTTAAATGTTGTTCATATTTATACAAATCTAAGAGGGACGGAAAAAGGAAGATACCTATGTAGGGAATTTAATGAATTTAATTGTTATTTATTAATAGTTAATTTATTTATTATTTATTATTTTTTATTTATTATTTATTATTTATTATTTATTATTTATTATTTATTATTTATTATTTATTATTTATTATTTATTATTTATTATTTATTATTTATTATTTATTATTTATTATTTATTATTTATTATTTATTATTTATTATTTATTATTTATTATTTATTATTTATTATTTATTATTTATTATTTATTATTTATTATTTATTATTTATTATTTATTATTTATTATTTATTATTTATTATTTATTATTTATTATTTATTATTTATTATTTATTATTTATTATTTATTATTTATTATTTATTATTTATTATTTATTATTTATTATTTATTATTTATTATTTATTATTTATTATTTATTATTTATTATGTATTATTTATTATTTATTATTTATTATTTATTATTTATTATTTATTATTTATTATTTATTATTTATTATTTATTATTTATTATTTATTATTTATTATTTATTATTTATTATTTATTATTTATTATTTATTATTTATTATTTATTATTTATTATTTATTATTTATTATTTATTATTTATTATTTATTATTTATTATTTATTATTTATTATTTATTATTTATTATTTATTATTTATTATTTATTATTTATTATTTATTATTTATTATTTATTATTTATTATTTATTATTTATTATTTATTATTTATTATTTATTATTTATTATTTATTATTTATTATTTATTATTTATTATTTATTATTTATTATTTATTATTTATTATTTATTATTTATTATTTATTATTTATTATTTATTATTTATTATTTATTATTTATTATTTATTATTTATTATTTATTATTTAAATTGAAGTTATACTTCTTTAGGCGCGTTGTGAAGAATTGATGAGGGTGAAATTTTACGATGCGCGCGCACCGTGACAAAATTATCAGTGTGAATATAGCCGCCGCCGAGCGTCCGCGAGCGAGATGGGAATAAGACAATCTACAAGTAAAAGAAATAGAATATGCGTGAAGTTATAGGTCTACCAGGATCTGATGGCAAAAAGGGAAAAAAGAAATTGACGCTAGCAATACTGGGGAAATTGGAGTAAAACGTTTTGATACTTTTTTTTCCTTATAGTGGCTGATTCTGTGTGTGATATATGCAAAATATATAAAAATTTATCCAATGATAATTTTTGAAAATGTGGCGAATGTGGGGTTTGAAATTTAGATGAAAACTCCAATTACTCTGTTCATGAGTTTATTAATTAATTAAGAACTTTAAAATGGTTCCAAATACTGCACATCCATAAAAAAGTCTTCAACGCAGTATTTATAATAAACCTTTCCTCCTGCATCTCAATTAACCGATCTTGTTCTATGAACTTATTTTAAATTTTTATTACATGTTCACAAGATTTTCGCTATTCATCGATCCCTATTTGAGAGAAAGAAACAATGTAAAACTCATTTATCTTGTTTCTGATCAATTCTAAATCAAAACTATCCAAGTTTATTTGTGGTATAAGAAACCCCTGAAATAAACCAAAATTTAGTATAAGTACATAATATAATACACACGAAGAATCCCATAAACCAAAGTATCAAGACGTGTCATTCCTACTAACCAGTCAACGCTTGCACATGGCTCAATATCGATGAATGTGTATGTTCTGCATCTTGTTGATCAAGTATTCTTTGATAAACATTGAAAACAATATGTCTTGCTTGCGATCGAAGAGGTTTCTTCGACATTTTCATCACTTTTTAAAGGAAATTTGAAGCCAAACCAAAAACAATTCCTCGAAATTTCAGTTGACAGATGAAATATTTCTTTTATTGCCATATGAAAATCGCTAATTTAAAAAAAAAAAATTGCCATCAGATTCTGGTAGACCTATAGAAGCTATGCCAAGAATTTTGAATGACCATAATGACATTTACCTTTTAAACAAATAAAGGAGTTTTAATTATTTTTTCAAAGAAAATTTAGCAATGCTTTTTCACAAAGACCTATTGTCTACTTAGTTAAAAGGATATGAAACATACCTAGTTATTCAACGGAATGAATAATATAATAAAATAATAAATAATAATAATTTTTATGTTTGGTATTTTTATAAGGGCCCAGAAATTGTGCTAAGACCCAGTTGGCTATTTTAGAAAATGTGGATATAAGTAAGCAGTTATGATAATAATGAATTTGTTATATTATTAGGTAATTGTGACCATATTTATGGTGGTATTTCTATATATGTAATAATAATAATAATAATAATAATAAAGCCATTTATTCCAAAACTTGCTTATGTTTTACAATGTTGTTAGTACTACTTAATTGCTTAAATTTAAAATGGTTACTTATAATTACCGTTAGTATTATTATTTATGTACAAGGTTTGGATCCCTGTTGGGTAAAGGCCTCCTCCATCCTTTTCCATGACTCCCTGTCTCTGCCTATTTGTATCCAGTCGTTTCCTGCGACGTGTGTTATATCATCAGCCCACCGTCTTAATTGTCGACCAACATTTCTCTTCCCCATGGGTCCTTTCCATCGTGTGGTTTCAATGGTCCATCTTCTGTCTCGGTATCGTGAGATGTGTCCAGCCCATCTCCATTTGAGTAAGAGTGCGTGCCTGAGAGCATCAGTTAATTTGGTTTTTTGACGAATTTCTTCGCTCCTAATTTTGTGTATTTTCCTAATTTTCAGCATACTCCTTTCCATTGCTGTTTGGTTACTTTTAATTTTTTGTTTTATTTTATTTGTAAAGGTCCAAGTTTGGCAGCCATACAGCAAGCAAGGTAACAGGCATGTATCAAATATTGTCCTTTTCATGTGTGAGCTGTAATTGCCTTTTAAGATTACCACTAAAAGAAATCTATATATGTACATAACAACAACTAATTTTAGTTCTGGTTTTTAATTAGCCTTAGTAACATTCATTAATATAGAAAGATTGGCAAAATTTAAGCATGGGATTTGGGCAGCTTAGCTACTCAATAATTAATTATTATTAATATTAATTATTAATTAATAATTGAATAATATACTAAATGTTAAATATTATTAAATTATTTACGTTTAATATTTATTATTAATTATTTAATTATTAAAAAAAAATAAAGAAAGCCAAAGAAGTATAACTTCTTACGCGCGTACATAAGTATATACACCCTTTTTATTTATTATATATTATTTATTATTAATTTAAATAATAAATAATATATTGTTAGCTGACAGGCGCAAGGGTGGCATTTGTCCATAGACATTCGTGTTTAGCTTCGTGTTACAAGCCGCCATTTTGATGTGCACACAGCGAGCCGTTGTACATACCTTTTTCTATCGGGACCTTGTCGCGAACGGACGGGTGCATCACTCCACATCCATGCGTATCGTATTTTATTGTTATTTATGTTTAAAGATAAATATTAGACATTATAAGTGTGTTTAAAATTGATAAATGTTTCTTTTTTATAATCTAATTGTTTGTTTATTATATCAGAATTGGGATCTGTTACCTCTTTCAGCCCGCAACTGTTTTTTTCTCTTTTTATTACTATTAGTGATTACTGTTAATGTCTAGTATTTAACTTTGTGTATTGCAGTGTCGTATGTTTTAGTGAGAATTTAAAACAAAAATGGGTAAACGTAGGCGGTCACGTAGTCAATCGATTACGAGTGGTGATAGTGATTATAAACGTCGTCGTCGTGGTTCGACACGCAGATCGGAATTGCGCGAGTCATTGCACGTAATAATGACGCGATTAGGTGCGTTAGAGAATAGGTCTACTATAACGACGGAGTACAATGCAGAAACGCCTGTCCAGTCTACGCCTGGATCTACTGAAAAAATCGTAGAAGCAATTCAATCCTTAAAGTGGGGTAGTTCACGTGATTATTATGTTTCGAATTTCGACCCTAATGTGCACGATGTCGATTGTTGGTTCGCGGAGGTAGATAGGGCACAGGTTCTTAATAAGTGGAGCGATTCCGAGTGTTTATCGCGTATTGGATTTTGCCTAAAGGGTGATGCCAAATCATGGTTGGACGATTGGGTCACGTCTGATAGAACATGGAGTAATTTTAAAAACGATTTTAAGTCCCTTTGTGTCCAAAAGATTGATGTGGCAAATATTTTATATGAGGTGATGAGCACGAATTCCGATGGTTATGCTACGTACGCCGAATATGTGCGTCGTTCTTTATTGCGTTTAAGGGTAGTTCAAGGTTTGAGTGACGAACTTATTAGTGCTATAGTTATACGTGGTATATATATACTGATCCTCATATTAAAGCCTCTGCTACAAATCATAATTTGAAGCCTTCTGAGTTAGTTAATTACTTAGCTACTTTCATTAAGCCCGTCCCGAGTAAATCAGAAAAGCGTTGGACTTCCGATAAGGATAGATGTTACGACAAGTCTCTTACTTTGAAACGGCATGTTCCGAGTGTTCCGCTTAAATGTTTTTCGTGTGGTCGAACGGGTCACAAACAAATAAATTGTCGTTCAAAACTAAAACAATCGGCAAGCGCGAAGCGAAATCATACTAGCGCGTCCGTAATACCCTCCACCAGTGCGAAGGCAACTAATAGCGATGTTAACCTGGAATCGAAAACTATTTGTGTGTATTGTAAAAAAATAGGTCATCTTATTAAGGATTGCTTTGCTAAACAGCGTTCAGATCAAAGGAAGGCGGACGTAAATTTTTGCTTTCCGCCTAAAAGTCGTAATACTAAAGACGTAATGGTCGGTGTAGTCCAGGGGATACCCATTGACGTTCTAATTGATAGTGGCGCTTTAGACGTTTCTCTTATCTCTCAAGCAGTAGTTAACTACTTGTCGTGTTCTTCAAATCCTACTTATCGTGAATTAAAAGGTGTTGGTCACTCTATCACTCGTGTATTCTTTTACGTAACTCTCACTATTGAATTTGAAGAAATTAGTCTTGAAGTGGATCTTTTAGTAGTGCCTAGTGATAGTATGAACGCACCAATCATAATCCGCCGTATATGTCCGCTCAGGGGGATGCCAACGATTAACTTATAGTCCGGTCTCTGCGAAAGTTTCGGGGGTAGAAACGGATGAGCATGCTATTAGGACGTCGATAGTCGGTAGTGATTACGAAAAATTAGTTGAAATTTTGAATGAGTTTACCAAGTTTATGATTACTGGAACTGCTACATCGACTGTGACTACTGGTAGCATGCACATTCGTTTAAACAGTGATGCACCCATATACTATAGGCCGTATAGATTGTCGTTCAATGAAAAGCTAAAAGTTCGAGAAATCATTGCGGATCTTTTATCTAAAGGCATAATACGTGAGTCGGAGTCAGCATACGCGAGTCCTATACTCTTAATAAAGAAGAAAGACGGCACTGACCGCATGTGTGTAGACTTTAGGGCACTGAATAGAATCACAATAAAAGATAGGTACCCTTTGCCACTAATTGAGGATCATATTGACCGCTTAGGAAAGGGTAGATATTTCACAACCCTAGATATGGCTTCTGGTTTTTATCAGATCTGCCTGAACGAAGCTTCCATTCCCCTTACGGGTTTCGTAACACCTGAAGGGCATTACGAATATTTAAAGATGCCTTTTGGACTGACAAATGCGCCTGTAGTTTTTCAGCGTATCATTAGTGATACGCTGCGATCTTTTATAAATAATGGTACGGTAGTAGTGTACATTGATGACGTTTTATTGATAAGCGAAAGCGTTGATGCCGGTTTACACATCGTACGTCATGTTCTACAGACTTTAACGGATGCTGGGTTCTCGTTAAATATGAAAAAATGTTCGTTTTTAAACACCGAAGTAGAGTACTTAAGACGCACAATCACTAACGGTGAGGTTCGTCCATCTAAATCTAAAATAGCGGCATTAATAAATTCTCCGGAACCTAAAAATGTTCGTCAGGTTAGGCAGTTCTTAGGATTGGCAGGCTATTTTAGAAAGTACGTTGAAAATTATGCTTTTAAAACCATGTGTATTTCGCGATTAACTAAAAAAGATGTCGAATTCAAATGGGGCGAGGAACAGAAACAAGCTCGTGCTGATATCATTAAGTGCTTAACCAGCGAGCCGGTTCTTGCCATATTCAATCCTACTTTGTTGACCGAGGTCCATACAGACGCTAGTAGCCAGGGTTACGGTGCAGTCCTATTACAAATTCATAGAGACGGTAGTAAAAGTCTGATTGCCTACTACAGCCAAGTAACGACTGGGCCGTAGGTACGGTACCACTCCTATGAATTGGAAACATTAGCTGTGGTATGAGCGTTGCGTCACTTTCGCCACTATCTTATTGGTATAGAGTTCAAAGTTGTGTTTGATTGCAATGCCCTAAAAGCTACACAAAATAAGAAGGACCTGTTACCCCGGGTAGCGAGGTGGTGGGTATATCTACAAGATTTTACGTTCACCATTGTTTACCGTAAAGGTGTTTTGATGCCCCATGCAGATTACCTCAGCCGCAATCCTATCCGTATTGTGAATAGCATTGATAAGCCGCGTAATTGGGCACAGATTGCGCAATTAGGTGATGAAGAAACGCGAAAGTTAATTGATCAATTGAATGATTGCCAAATAGATGCGAGCCGAAATTTTAAAAACAATGATATTCTTTACTATCGTTACTCACCGGTAGGGGAACAATCACGCTTACTTTGTTATATACCAAAAGGGCATCGGCTTAGTTTACTGAGAATCTTTCATAATGAAAATTGCCATATAGGGGTATATAAAACGACAGAACTAATATTAAAACATTTCTGGTTTCCTAATATGCAACAGTTCGTTAAAAAATATGTAGGACATTGTTTAACCTGTATGGCCAATAAAAGAGTTCCGCGAGCTCCGTTACAGCCTATCACTTCGTGGACTAAACCAGATGTTGCTTTTCATACCCTTCATATGGATGTGTTAGGCCCATTGCAAGAGTCGAACGGTTATAAGCACGTCATGGTGGTGGTTGATGCCTTCTCCAAATACTGTCTTTTGTATCCCATGCGTAAAAAAGACCTTGAAGAGTTAAAGCAAGTATTTAAAAATGTTGTTTCTTTATTTGGTACCCCGTCTCTCTTGGTTACTGACAGAGGTCGTATGTTCGAATCCACTCATTTTGTCAAATGGATTAACGAATTAGGGTGCTCAATACATCATATTACACCCGAAATGCACCACGCCAATGGCCAGGTTGAAAGATATATCCGTACCTTACTTAACATGTTGCGGATAGAGGTAAATCACAAGAAAAGCGAGTGGTCTGAGGAGTTATGGCGCCTGCAACTTGTGCTTAATATCACTCGACAGAAGACTACTCAAGCATCTCCGTTGAACCTCTTATTAGGTACCGAGGGCACTACTCCTGCAATACAAGCTTTGGTTCGCGATGTCACTGTAGACTGTTCGAGTTCTGATAGATAGTCCCTGCGAGAGCTTGACAGACAAAGGACAGCCGAACGTCTTAAACAAAATCAGAGGCGACAAGATGAGTATGTTAATAAAAGACGGCATCCCACCCGTGTTTTTCAAGTGAATCGTATTTTATATCAAATACTCTCAATCCAAAGGTAAATTGGATCCGGGTATGCGTGGTCCCTATAAAGTAACGAAAGTCTTAGAAAATGGCCGTTATGAGTTGAAACTACTTACTGGAGCTTATGGCAAAGCTAGTTATGCTGCAGCTCAGTTCATAGTACCATGGAAAGGTGAATGGACGCCTGAAGAATGTGCAGCCTTTTTCTTGAGTAAGTACTTGGGTACTAGAACTTGTTTGCTAAATGTAAGACTACTCCTGTAATGACACCTGTGGTTACACTGTATGTACTGAGATCAATGGACAGGGTAATCAGCCCCAAACTTCCGGTCTTGTCGAGATCCTATAAGATCAATGGACAGGGTATCCAGCCCCAAACTCGTGGTCTTCCTGTAGAAATGATAAAAAGATCAATGGACAGGGTATCCAGCCCCAAACTCGTGGTCTTCCTGTAGAAATGGTAAAAAGATCAATGGACAGGGTATCCAGCCCCAAACTCGTGGTCTTCCTGTAGAAATGGTAAAAAGATCAATGGACAGGGTAACCAGCCCCAAACTCATGATCTTCTTGAGAATTAAGTAGACTTTTATACCTTATGTCTACTCCTATGGTGATACTAAACTTGTAATTGTGTAGTACTTTACACACCTGCTAGTGATAGTTTGTTTGTAATCTTGTAAGGGTTATAAATAATCTTTCACTCTTTTCCTTGGGGGTCTGATATTTTAAAGTTGCTTTTATCTTTCGTTACTTTGATCGTTTGTATTAAAAAAAGTAAATATTTTCAGCCGCTGATCAAACAGACGACGCAATACCTTCCCAGGACTGTGATGTTACACAACCTACTCAAAGAAATGACGGTATAGACGCTGGGATATCAAAGCCTGACGAGGACGTCAGGGTGTCAGGAGAGGCCGTGTAAGCTGACAGGCGCAAGGGTGGCATTTGTCCATAGACATTCGTGTTTAGCTTCATGTTACAAGCCGCCATTTTGATGTGCACACAGCGAGCCGTTGTACATACCTTTTTCTATCGGGACCTTGCCGCGAACGGACGGGTGCATCACTCCACATCCATGCGTATCGTATTTTATTGTTATTTATGTTTAAAGATAAATATTAGACATTATAAGTGTGTTTAAAATTGATAAATGTTTCTTTTTTTTAAATCTAATTGTTTGTTTATTATAATATAATAAAGATGGCGCGTAACCGAAAAATGTGACGGTAAATTTTTTCCAACGCCGATTAAGAAGTTTGACTTCAAAAAGATTTATAAAGATCATATGATACGATTACTCTATTACCATAATTCGTTAGTTATATATGTCAACGTAAAATTGTAAAAACCGTTAGATTGTAATCTATCTCGCGAGATTGTAAACTGTCGAAAAATTGTGAACTCAATCACTTCGATAGATTATAATCTACCGAATAATAATACGTTAAATTGTAAGCAGTACGTTGAGTTCACAATCTTTCGACAGCTTATAATCTCGCGAGATAGATTACAATCTAACGGTATTTACAATTTTACGTTAACATACACATCACCATCAAATAGTTTGTTGTGAGGCTTGAAACAAAGTCACTTTGCGTCAAGCGTGACCCTCTGCCGGCAAAGGAATTTGTATGAGAATGACATTATCTCACGTTTTGTCACGTGACCATCTTCATACAGATGTGTTTGGCGTTAGTGGGTCACTATTGTCTTAAATAGATTTTGTCTATATTCTGTGGTTACGGTTACCATCTCTTGAGTCTAGGTATAAACTCAAAAAAAAAAACTTTTGAGTCTTGACAGTTGACTTTTGAGACGTTAATGACATATTTGACATATTTAATTCAAGAAACTTTTTGAACTTTGGATTTAAAAAACCTCTTTGCAAGCAAAATAAAGACAAAATTTTTAATAAACTAGATCAAATTTACTATTATTTTCGCAACCTAAAATTTGAAAATGGTTCTCCGGTAATATATTCACTAAGAAAATTAGGAATACTTGGTTTCTTGATAAACATAAGATCTTTAAAGTGTCTTTATGTTGATTTTATTGAAAAAGGTGCATTGAAATTTATCCCTTTTTATAAATTATCTCAGGACCACCTCGAAGTTTTTTTCAGTGCTGTTAGATCTCGTGGTGGATTTAATAATAACCCAACCCTTAGAAGTTTTATGTCTGCATACAAGCGTTTGCTTTGTCACACTGAAATAAAAACTTCCGAAAGTGGCAACTGCCTGGCTTTAGAAGATATAACGATTCTATCGAACTCAAAATTGACTACTGACCAGCAAATTAATACATCTTTGACATATAATAAAATAACAAAGGAGTTTTCATTATCTCAAGAAACCGAAGAAGAAAATGATTTTGATGACTTATATATACCTCACAATGAAGACACACTATCAAAAACTATAAAAAATGTCGTAGAGTATATAGCAGGGTTTGTCGTAAAAAAAATTAAAATAAAAATTTCTTGCGAAGAGTGCTGCAATGCGTTACAGTCCTCCCGTCAATGTAGTAGCCAAGAATCCTTCATAAACAAAAGAGACTTTTCATCTAAGGCTGATCAAGGCTTTTTAACATACCCTTCAAAAGATGTGATACAACTTTGTCTAAAAATAGAAAAATTTATTCGTGAAAATAAAAAAATCACTCAAGCTATTGGGAAATCTACAATTTGCAAAGCGGTACTTCTTATATTAGAAGATAATTCCGGCTTATTTTCGAGTTTGGAAAACCACAATTTGGACCAAGATATTTTAAGTGGTCATAGGTATTTAATAATGAAATACGTTATAGAAATTTACTTTGACATTCGACTTAAGTATGAATATAAACTTAATAATTTAGGAAAGGAAACTGTAAGGAACCAGTTTAATAAGATTGTTCTGTTTAAAGGTCAATAAATTAAGAAGCAATGAAAAAAGTTGTTTTTTTTATTAATGCATTTTTTTTTTACATAATGTCATAATTATAATCTGGACAAAAACAGTCTATGGAACAACTTTCTCCAAGGGTCGAACATCTAACTTCAATAAGTTATCGATAGTCCTCCAAAGTAAAAGGTACATCACTAGCTAATGCACACACTGACAAATCAAAATTGGTCACGCTTTATCGAGCTGCCAGTTCGTCTATACGCCAGTATATACTAAGTCTATGGTCCGATCCGACATGCGTGACAACTGACATTAGAATTTAGATCACGCTCCATCTGTTTCAGATTTACAAGTTATAAACCTACATTCTACAACTCTAAAACAATATTATTCATTTTTAGTTAGGACTTAGGAAGTAAATATTCTTAATGTTGTATATTTATTATTTTATGTAACAGAGTAATATACTAAAATTAAATATGGGTTTTTATTTCGAATTACAGTAAACAAAACATTTTTCTGTAAGCATAAGGAAATATTAAGGATGGATTCAGATATTGATATTGAAGAACATAATTTGTTTGAAAATCCTGAGTTACGTGTTCTTTTCCCGGATATAACTGCGCTTAAACAGGAGATTTATGATGAATATGTTGAAGGTAATAAATTTAGTTAGATTGTTAGTTAAATATCTTTAACACATCGTTTTCCATAAAAACTAAATTAATAATGGTAGTTATTATATTAGGTATTATGAGCAGACTGTAGTAATTATTGCTAGTAGTAATAGTAACTACAAATTGAAATTTTAATTTTCAGTTACTAATATACCAAATGACAGAACAACCCTGAAACGTGAATATCAATTAGAACTAGCTCACTCTCAGCATTTTGATGAAAATCAACAAAGGGCTGGAAAGAAAAAACGTGCATTACAAGAAAAAACATGCATTTTAAAAAACAAAATAGTCATTGGCTCAGAACCAAAGTCATCCAAAACTACATATAGTTCTATGAAACATAATATAACAAAGCAGGTAAAAATTATTTTATCAGATTTACAACCAGTGTTATTAAACTCCAATAAATTTTGCAAAGTATGCTCAATTCTTTTTCCAAACAATGTTTCTTTAACCGAGCATAGAAGGATTATCCATGATGAACAATATATCTGTAATAAATGTGGTAATAACTTTTATCAAAAGGGTAATTTAACTAGACATCTAAGGAATGTACATAAAATAAATGTTATTAAGAAAAGAAGAACCTCTAAGTTGGCTAAAAATGCCCAGTTGCATATTACACAACACTCTATTAAAGACAAAAATCTTGTTCCAAATGTAACATGCCTTCATTGTCCTAAAAAATTTGAATCCAAGCAACTACTTATTGAGCATTTGTATGCGGTACTTGAGCCTAAAGTTAATAAACAAGCTAATTCACAGCTTAATGCTAAATCAATAGAGTCTAATTGTATAGTAAATAAGAAAAATAAGTCTGGTACTTGGAACATTCAAAACAATGTGGATAAAGATTCAAGTGCTGAAAGACAAAGTCTAGAGAGAAATGTCAATAATAATGAAACACAGTTGGTTTTTAAATGTCCCAAGTGTTATCACTATTTCAAAAACAAAGACTTCTTTGTCAAGCACATGGAAATAAAACATTGTATTCAGGATTTTCCAACTAAAAAGGTACCATTTAATACAAAATGTGAGTTGTGTACACAGCATTGCAGCAATGCCAGGTTTTATAATCGTCACATACATAATCATCAATTAAGAAAAGAACAAAAATTAAACTTAAAAAGGAAAAGAGTATACACAAAGGAAGCTACTAAAAAGGAAACATTAAATATATTTGTAATAAAAGATGTTGTATTTAATTGCAGTAAATGTGACATATGCTTCATATCCCCAAGTTTGGCACTGAATCACACAAAACATAGTGAATATAGATATCATTGGAAGTGCACAGAATGTCAGTTTACTTTTAAGAGAAATGAAGGCAATTATCATCTAAGTCAACACACATATTCAAAATCTTTTACAACTATTGAGATAAACGAAAAAACGTTCTCTAAAATCTTATATTCTTGTTCAAATTGCAACATACATTATGAAGAACAACAATTTATGCAGCACTATACAAAATGTAATTCTTACACTCCACCATCAGAGTATTGTGACATTTGTGATATTTTCATAGATCAAAGATTAAAAATTGTCCATAGAGATATTCATAATGCATGTTTAATGAATAAAACAGATTTTTGCATTATAAAACTAATAGTAAAATCTATTTCTATTTGATGATTTGAAAATTGTTAAAAAATTACCCCACCTATGCCTGATTTTCCAAAATGTGAAGGATGCTTTAAACATTTTATTAACAAATTTACCTTAAAAAGTCACGTATGTGGAGAAGAGGAAGATTTTATATGTTCAATATGCAACATGAAGTTTTCTGAAATTGTGCACAAATTACATTTACCATTTCACGAATATGAACTAAATGAAAATAATATTGAAAAACTAACTAACAAGGAAACCTATTCTTTAAATAATATTCAAAAGGATAATGTCGACAGTCCAGTAGAATTTAAAGACAATGCTAAAAACATAGTTGAGAATGATTTATATTTCTGTAAATTATGTTTTAGGCAAATTTATTTGTATGATAAGGTTATAGAACATTGTCAAATTCATATATTAAATAATAGGGATCCAAAAACTAACATAGAACATCGGGAACAGGATGTTAATTCAAAAGATTCTATAGATGGCAGGAAGGTGTACTATTTTGAACCATATTATTATGCTAAGGATGATATTTGGTTGAAGCATCTATTTAATGGATTATCACTGGAAGAAATTACCAAAAAACTGCCCCATTCTATTTATAGATTTGAGAGTAGAATAAAACTAGAAATATCTCAAGAGGGTAATCCCGAATATACAGAATATAAATGTCTGAAATGTCAATGTTTCATAGAAAGTTCCACACTTTTTAGTCATGTGGAAGGATGTGGTGGTCACAATCTAAAAAGCTATTCATGTGGTGTATGCAAAAACATTTTTGTAACTCAAATTGCCTTATCTCAACATTTACAAATGCACAAAAATTCATTTAACATGAAAAATATGAGAATAGTTTCTTTTAATCAGGACAATGATAAACAAATTAATGAATTAATTAAATTAAATTCTTCTAGACCATATTATGTAGTCTATAGATGCAGAAATTGTGAAGGTCTTGTTAACAAGGCTGAATTTTTAACACATGTTTGTAATGTAAAAGATCTTCAAAAGTGCAATAATTGTGGATTGCTAATATATTAGACCACAAGCCCATGAACAAAAAATACCTGTGAAATGACCCAACGTGAATTAGGTTTAGAAGGCTGTTACTATATCTGAAAATAACTCTGAGCACTATGCCGTCATTTCTGAGCGGTACATGTGAGTACGTGAGTGAATGGAATTTCTCAGATACGAAGGAGGAATTTCGACTAATTATTAATGTACGGCTTTGTTATAAGTGTATAGATGATTAAAAATAAATGTCGAAAAACCTAGTGCCGTACTAAAGTGATGGTGCCGGAAGTCGGTGCAAATTTTTAATTCGACGATAGTTGCAGAAGCAATATAGGTCATTTATTACTGTACGGCATTTGTGTAATTCCTTTTGGACACATATACAGATACTTTACCCGTAAACGCCGTACATATTTCCAGCGGAGCGGTCGAAAGCCAAGGGTCGCAACCCTTCCCCCTACACCCATATACCCTAAGGTCATTGTAAAATGTACGGCAACATGTTCAAAATATTATTTAACACGGACAATAATGTTAATATTGTTGGGTTATAAGTGTGCAGCGGTAGTCGCGTGCAGCAGTCCAGTTTTATTAATTAATTGACAATATAAAAACATAACAAGACCATAGCAACGCCAACTTTAAATAACGAACTATGACGATATAATATGTATGCAAATTACCAAAGAGTTTCCTCTAATACACCCCCTTGATTTGCATACACATTTAACAACAAATATGTACTAAATAGTCATTACAAAAATATACAGACATGCAATCTTAATCTACACCTAACATTGAGATGCAGCGGTAATGTTTCTGTCTTTGTAAAGCTTTTGTTAGCACATCCGCCGCCATCTCCTCGGTAGACACATACGATAATTGTATGTCAGTATTCTCCCTTAAAACACTTCTTATAAAATAATATTGAATATCGAAATGTTTAGTTCGGGCGTGGAAGACTGGATCCTCCGATAGAAATAAGGCACCTTGATTATCGCAGTACAACACTATGTTCCCGAAATCGCGCAACCCTATCTCTTTCATAAGACTATTCAGGTAAACTGCCTCTTTTATCGCCAAATTTAAACTAATATATTCGGCTTCGCACGTTGAAGTTGCTACGCATTTCTGTTTCTGGGATTTCCATGAAATCGCAGCCCCTCCTAACAAAAAAGCATACCCGGAGTATGACTTCCTATCTATAGGACAATTTGCCCAGTCAGCATCCGAATAACCAATTAAGCTCTTACCTGTTTTTCGATAAATCAGTCCATAATCGGCTGTCCTCTTAAGATAACGAAGTAATCTTTTCACCGCATTCCACTGTATCTGTCCAGGATTATCACAAAACGCTGCTAATCTTGTCACGGCGTGTGTGATATCCGGACGAGTTCCTGCTGAAAGATAAATCAAGCTTCCGATTAATTCTCTATATGGACATTTCTTCTCCAGCGGAATTTGTGAACCATTGGGTCTAAAATTCACCTCCATCGGCGTGGTCACTGTTTCTTTACAATTCTCCATGCCGAATTTTATCATCAAATCATTAATATATTTTTGTTGTGACAGTTTCGTGGCATACTCATTTTTGACAATGTCAATGCCTAAAATATATTTCGCCAGTCCATAGTCTTTTAAATCAAACTCTTTGGAAAGTTCATCTTTGAAAGATTGTATGAGACCTTTATTGCGTGAAACTATCAGTAAATCATCAACATAAACCGCTAAGTATATAGACGTATCAATGGAGTTACCGTCCAAATAGTAGAGACACGGTTCCTTCAAAGACTGTTTAAAATGCATTGACTTCAATTTATTGTCAAGTCTTTTGTTCCATTGACGTCCAGCTTGTTTCAAGCCATACAGTGATTTCTTCAATCGACATACATCTCCACCTGTCTTCAGATCATTTAACATCTTACGAGCCTGCTCTTTTAAGCTTTCGTCTCTTTCTTCTTTAATAATTCTACCTAAGCACTCTGTCAACAATTCTGGAACCTCCATATAAATTTCCTCGTCAAGATATCCATTCAGATATGCAGTATTGATATCCAACTGGTGTATCTCCATGTCTAATTCAACCGCGAGCGCTGTAAGCAGTCTTATCGTGTCTAGTCGGACAACAGGTGAAAAAGTGTTTCGGTAATCGATGCCATATCGTTGACTGTAGCCCTTGGCTACCAACCGTGCTTTCTTCTTCTCGGTTTTGTCAACGTTAAGCTTCGTTGTCAATACATATCGGCATCCTACCGCTTTTCGATTTCTCGGTTTTTGAACAATTTCCCATGTTTCATTTTTTACAAGACTTTTGACCTCAGACAATATTGCTTCCTCCCATAGAGCACGTTCAGCGCTACTTAGGGCATCCCCTAAGGAAGTTTCCACAGTCAACGCAACATCCTCAGGTAAAGTTTCTTCTGCACGGCTATTATTATCATTGGGTATCATTTTATAGACCTTCTTAGGTCGGCCAACTTGGCCTTTCTGAAGTTTTGGTCTTCCGGGACCTCTCTTATACGTTACCTCTGTATCAGCTTGCGCTATTTCACTATCTTCCTCATGACATAGAGAAGGTGAACCAAGGGGTGAATCAGTCGTCTCCACGATCATTTCTCGAGTTCCTGAATAAGATGTACTTGGTATTACGTCCACCTCTACATATTTCGGCTTCGGTGTATCAACATCAGCAGAAAATTGATCTAGCTGAAAAGGATCATGAGTAATTGCCGATTTCCTGTCATCATTAGTATCGAGCCTCGTCTTGCAGAATTTCACATCCCTAGCTATAATGGTTTTATGGTCTACTGGTATCCATACCTTATATCCCTTTTGGTTCATTGGATATCCAATAAATATTCCATTGACACTTCTGGCAGCAAATTTGTCCTTGGTTGGATTCTTGTCTAGAACATAAACTTCAGCTCCAAACTTCTGAAGATACTCAATCTTCACTGGAGAGCCAAACCACTTCTCGTACGGAATTGTACCACCCAAACTACTCGTGGGACAACGATTCCTAATATGACATGCCACCAATACAGCATCTCCCCAAAAACCTGCTGAGAGATTAGATGAAAGTAACATACACCTAGCCATTTCAACTAATGTCCTGTTCATTCGTTCTGCTACGCCATTCTGCTGTGGGGTTTGAGGTATAGTCAGTCTTCTTATTATCCCCTCTTGTTTCAGGAATTGATCAAACTTATTATTACAGTATTCTCCACCGTTATCAGTTTGTAAATACTTTATTCTCTTAGCGGTAAGGTTCTCAACATAGCTCTTGTATTCTTTGAAACATTCCAGAACACCACTCTTACTCTTCAGTAAGTAAACTTCGCACCATCTAGTACAATCGTCAATAAACGTGACAAAATATTTTGCACCACCGACAGTTTCATTTCGAATTGGCCCAACTACATCGGAATGGATGATGGACAGTTTTTCGTCACATGGTCCACTCGACTTGGAAAATGGGAAAGAAGTCATCTTACCCTGCACACAATACTTACAGTCGTATAAAATATTTATATTTGACATATCAACTTTAATGCCCACATGACCTAATACTTTTATTAAATCCTTCACATTTAAGTGACCTAAACGTTCGTGCCAGGATAGTAAATCGTTCTTAGTTTCGGAAATCGCAGAAACAGAAGCATGGCCCTCCCGCATATAATAAAGGTTATTTTTTCGATCTGCTATGAACTTAATATTCCCTTCAGAATCGGTTACATAAGCTGAATCTTTCTTAAAAGTTACATTAAAACCTTTGCTTGTAATTTTAGATACGGAAATTAAGTTGCATCGCAAATCGGGAACATATAAAGTGTCTGATAGTTTTATCGGAACCTCCTCATTCAAACTCACAGTTCCTTTACCTTTTGCAAATGTACTCACATTGGTGGCCAAACTTAACTTACTACTGCAATTTGTCAAGGTGTCAAATTTTCCTTTCGATCTACAAAGGTGCGATGTACACCCACTATCTATGAGCCAGTTTCCTCCACATCCCGAACCAATCACTCCGTTACACTCTGAAACAGATAGAACACATGAGTTAAAATTCTCACTAGCACCTAACTCACTAACACATTTTGAGTCCTGCCTTTACACGGGCAGTCCGAAGCTTTATGCCCTTGTTTATGACATCTGTAACATTTAAATTTAAACGCTTGATCCGGTTTATAATTCTGCGGATTTTTAGATGTAGAACTCCTAGCTCCTAGCGTGGTTTTTCTCCTAGCGAACATTGCTGACGACCCCTCTCTGTCTCCTTCCTTTGCTGTCGCCTAGAGGCATCTTCTTCAAGAATTTTAACTTTTAAAGAATTCGGGTCTGGCAATGAATCTCTAGTCTCCATCGCACATCTAAAGTTCTCATAACTTGGGGGCAGACTATAGAGTAAAATAATAGATGCAAGATCATTATTTATATTTATGTCCATGTCTAGTAACTTTTCTTTGGCTTCAAAGAAGCTTAACAGATATTCACGCATGTCGTCCTCCTCACACATCTTGTGTAATATGAGCTGCTTTAACAGTGTCGCTTTCTTAGCGGGACCCGAAGACGCGAAGATGCTTTCTAATTTGAACCAACATTCTCGCGACGTACTCGTCCCCTTAATGTGTCGTAGCTCACCTGGACTAATTGAGAGAATAATCTCCGCTCTCGCCTTTGCATCCGCCGCTTCCCAAAGCAACGCCTCTGCTGGCTCAGCTGGCTTCTTAATGCTACCATCCACATAGCCCCACACATCGCTCTTAATCAATAGAGCATGGGCCTGGATTCGCCATGAGTCGTAATTATCACGGCTTAATAATTCTATCCGCACACTCGCCATCGTTACTAGGTTAAGCACTCTAGTTCCCCCTTTTTTTTATTAATTTACTGGACTATGACTGGGCCCATAACCTTTGTTGGGTTATAAGTGTGCAGCGGTAGTCGCGTGCAGCAGTCCAGTTTTATTAATTAATTGACAATATAAAAACATAACAAGACCATAGCAACGCCAACTTTAAATAACGAACTATGACGATATAATATGTATGCAAATTACCAAAGAGTTTCCTCTAATAAATATTTGTGTAAATAAATATTTATCGAAATTTCAGGATTTACCGAGCTCTTACTGCTGTAAGATCAGAGAATAATGTACGGCAACTTGTTTTTTTACATAATGTTACTAAATATTACCGTTGTACCTTAAAGCCGTTCATAATAAATGGTAACAAATAAAAATATTATGATAAAAAATATATGAAATTTCCGAAATTTAGATGATTTTTCAAATATTCCTAGAGTAATATGAGGAGTAATATTTTCAAAGATTATTGTTAGTTTATATGTAACAAATATAAATAAACAAAAAAAACCAGATGCCGTACATTTTACTCCAGATTATTCTTTACAGCTGATAAAAACTTCGACGACGTTTGAGGTGTCCCTTAAGGTCATTGATAACTGTACTTATCTGAGTATACTACCATAAGGCTGTAAAGTATATTTACAGCCTTATCATACCAGCAGAGAGAGGTAAAGGAAAAATATTTTTAACAAAAATAAAAATATAATACAGGGCGTCCCAAAGTTATAGGATATGAAGGGAAAAGTTATTAGTTTTTGGCCATTCTTTTGATTGGCATCTTAAAAGTAGGGGTGTTTTTTTTTACATTTAAGTCGGTTCGATTCCCAGACGAGGCAAGTTATTTTTTTTAAATCTTTGAATGCAGAATTACTAATTTTAAAAAATAACATAAAGTCTTCTTTTAGTAAAATACCCTATCTACGATATTTAAGGTACTTTCCCTTCATGTCCCATAACTTTGGGACGCCTTATATTGGTAGGCGGTGGTATAATCTGTCATTTCATAGACTAGCGGACTATCGAAAGTGTACGGCACTTATCTTTTATTGAAGATTGTCTAAAGTACTAATAACCTGTGTTACTGCCGTACAGATAAAAGTCACCGGAAAATTACTCTTTTCAGAGTGAAGTAATTTACCCCATACACCTATGTGTTCCACGAAAAATGTACGGCATCCTGGAAAATATTATCTATTTGTGAAGTACTCTCAAGATCATTTAATTTTATGTTGTTCTTTATCATCATAACCTATATGCTAATCAGACATATGTTGCGACCCTTGGCTTTCGACCGCTCCGCTGGAAATATGTACGGCGTTTACGGGTAAAGTATCTGTATATGTGTCCAAAAGGAATTACACAAATGCCGTACAGTAATAAATGACCTATTTTGCTTCTGCAACTATCGTCGAATTAAAAATTTGCACCGACTTCCGACACCATCACTTTAGTACGGCACTAGGTTTTTCGACATTTATTTTTAATCATCTATACACTTATAACAAAGCCGTACATTAATAATTAGTCGAAATTCCTCCTTCGTATCTGAGAAATTCCATTCACTCACGTACTCACATGTACCGCTCAGAAATGACGGCATAGTGCTCAGAGTTATTTTGAGATATAGTAACAGCCTTCTAAACGTAATTCACGTTGGGTCATTTCACAGGTATTTTTTGTTCATGGGCTTGTGGTCTATATAGCAGTGATTATGAATATCACCTTTTAAAACATAAGAATTTAAATAGTTTTACTGGGAACAATATGAAAGTAGTACTTCTAGGTGATTTAATTCCAGGATTTAATAAAAGTTCACTTGTATCTACATTTATGGGTATTGTTTGTGATTACTCTTTTTATAAGTGTAGTAAATGTTTCATATGTATTCGTTATGCAAGATGTATTTCCCCACATTTCTGTTTAGTTGATGCCGCTAAAGCTATATGTAATCTTTGTGATCTTTACTTTGAGCAAGGGAAATTGAAAGGGCACATGAAACTACATACAGAAGATCCAGAATTTATAAAAGATAATATAAATACTTTTGTTTTCAATCCAAAAGAGAGTATAGAATCTTTAAAAGCCGAACAACCTTCAACATCTTCAAAGACTAATGTGGTTAAAATTATGGAACAAGATATAGTAAATACCGATGGCCAAATTGTCCTATACAGATGTGCTAAATGTAATTTACATTATATGAGCAAAAGTCAAGCAAAAGAACATGTAAAAAAAAGTCCTGGAAGGGTAATAAAACAATATTGTACAAAATGTGGAATCCCTTTCTCTCCAAATGTCTTGTTTGATCACCTCAAAAAAGATATTAAAACCGCATATGTTGTCGACGTTTTTGGTTCTTATAAAAAGCGAAAGATATTTAAATGTGGTAATTGCAATTTACACTTTACAAATGCGAAGAAAACATCTGAACATTATTTAAAGTGCTTAGGAGATTCTAGTAAGGGTGAAAAATGCAAATGTTGCAGCTTAATGTTTCATTATTCTTATTTAGGTAACAGTTTTGAATACCGTCGCACTTTTTTTATGATACTAACTATTTAGGAGTCTCGGGGGATCTTCACTGGAACACCTGATTTTTGCTGCAGGAAACGCATCTAAGTATTTTAAAAAAAAATGTAAAGTTTTTTGCAATGTATTGAAATTTGTAAACAATCCGCCATTTTCTACTTTTCTATTGGTTATAAGAGATGTGACATTCACTTTAAAAAATCGTTTTTTAATTAATCGATTGTTAATAATCGTTTTTTAATTAATCGATTGTTAATAATCGTTTTTTAAGTAACGGATTTCTAACGGACTGAACTAACTAACGAACTGTAAGACTGTTCACACACTGTTCTAGCAAAATCCACATTCGAAATGGCCGTTTGCGTTTATAAAATTAATAGGGGTGTGAAAAATAATCGATTTCTTTAAAAGTGAAAATCGATTTTTGTATTCGATTTTAATATTAAAAATAATTGAAAATCAATCATAGTTGATCAGTTTCAGTTGAACAGTTATTTTAAAAATAAATATCATATACTAACCTAACCTAACCGATCTAAATAATATTTGTTTTTTTGGACAGCTCCGATCTAAATAATATTTGTTTTTTTGGACAGCTCCGGCGCTACGGGAAATGCAGCACCTCCACCCTTGCGTACCAAAGCACAGGCATTTTATTCAAGCCTCCGCAACCTCGGCTTTTTGGTCGCCTACAGCTTTCATAATGCCTGTGCTTTGTTACAGCGGGTGGGGGCTGCTCGTCCTCCGCGCCTCCGATTATTTATATACACTCTGTGCTCCGATTCGGTTTTGGGTACTTTTTGGATATTAAAGTAAACACTTTATTCTAGTAAAAATTAAATAATATAGAAAGTTGCAAACAATGAAATACAAGTACTAATTAGGAAATACAGACGAGTAGGTATCGATAATTTCAAAAAATTTCGGAACCCTATAATCTATCAACACGAAATTAGGTTAATTTCAATGTTGATTATTCTATAACTTTAAATTTAAAAAATGTGGAAATAATCGATAAATAAAAAAAACTATTATTAACAATCGATAAATTAAAAACACGATTTTTTAAAGTGAACGTCTCATCTCTAATAACCAATAGAAAAGTAGAAAATGGCGGATTGTTTACAAATTTCAATACATTTCACAAAACTTTAAATTTTTATTGAAAATACTTAGACGCGTTTCCTGCAGCAATATTAATTTCTCATTGTACCTTTTAACTTTAATTTAAAATAAGAGTTAAGTTTAATAGTTCAATTGTAATATTCTTCCTATCAAAAGATGTATTATTCGGTTCTTAAATAAACTGTAATATGTATGTTAAAAAGTTGTTTTAATATCACATTAACGTGTATTGAAGTGAAACTTCTTAAGGCGCATGAGGGTAAATTTTTTACCTATTAATTACAATAATAAAAATATTAGCGTCACGAAGATGTTTTTGTGGAAGAATTGAGAGATTGAGAGAGAGTGAGAAAAGGCGAACATAGTATGAAGCAAATAGCCATGGAGTGAGAGGTGGGAGAGAGCTATAGTGAGAAAGATTGAGAGAGAGAGTAAGGGAGATCAAGAAAAATTACACGTTATGGTTGATGTATTCGTGTAGTAGTTACATATTAGAACTTTAGATGACAATTCTGTCGCATAACGTCTTGTGCACTAAACGCAGAATATTTTATTTATTTATATTATTATCATAAACAGTGAGTTAAATTTATAAATAAAATTTTGTGATAAATTTAAGTATGTTGTCCTAAAGACGAAGTTGTTCAGAGTACGTAATATATCTGTTATCTTTTGTTAATTTACAATTTTTATGCTAATTCGTTTGTAGGTTAGAAAGCTTTAATATAAATTACAATATTGGCCAAGATGGTCGGAAAGTACGTTGAGAAGTCAAGCAGTATAAAACAAATTTTAAAAATCATTACAGTATTTTTTTCAAGCTTTAAAGCGAAATGCGGATAATATTCAAAGACAAGTTTTATGCGAACTCCTCTATCTTTTTTGACTTGGGAAATAATGGAAGAATTATTTATAATTCTTATAAATAAGGCTTTGTTGATCATAATCAATGTTGGGTTTAATCCATGTTTTTTTATATGAATATCCTATACTACACTGGTAGTGTTGTGCGTCATTTTTAAAAATAATATCACAATAAATGGTATTGAAATTTATATAAAGTGTAAAAAAACGATGCTATTCGAAGTAAAAGCATATAAATGTAAATAAACGCAATAAATGAAAATACTGGTATTACTGCATTGCAAAACACCATAGCATTAAAACCAGTTTAAGAACGAGATACTAACTCATTTTTATTCCTTTACCCCTATTATCCAAACCACTGTTATCCACCATTACCAAAACTTTGACATGCCCACACAGCCATCGAAACAATTTATATTAAAAAAATCCCAAAACAAGCAATTATAGTACCATGA